TTGATAAACTTTTAGAAAAATAAATTATGTTGATCAACTTAAAGCTTTGGGTGGGTTGACTGAAGTGTGTGAGAACTCAAAACTGGATGTAGATCAAGACTCTTCATCATTTTCTTTGATATGGAAGGCTGACACATGTTTAAACATTTTCTCTATTATATACCAACCGTCGTTTTTGTGTAGGTTTTGGCTTGACCGTCACAAAAATTGTATTTTTTTTTCTGTGAGTCCTTTGTGGGACCAACAGAAAATGTACACACCCTCAGGCTTGCTTCGAAGTGTGATAGTGACATGTTTAAACATTTTCTATACTAAAATAAAGAGGCAGTCCTCCTCCACCTCCACGTAAGAACTTTTCTCTCTAAAAACCGTTCACCCTAAAAAGCCAGATTTCAAAAAAATCAACAATTATAAAAAATTCGAACAGAGCAATGGGCCCAAATAATTCTACTAAACTGAATTAAAAAATGATTCTAAAAGAGCGAATTTGGTCACTCCCATCGCAAAGAATATTGAGTTGAAAAATGCCATTGCAAAAAGAGAGGGGCTGAAAAAAAAAACTAGTGATAAATGTAACAAGCTCTTGAAAATACTATTGTGGTTTCTTTCCAATCCTGCCATTAGTGCCTTTTTCATAGATAAATTTCCAAATATGTCAATGCTTTTTATTGGGGTCCACAAATATGCCAATGCTACGTACTCTGATCTTGCCATCACTTCTATTTTGCATTTCTGTTCTGCTATATATATATATATATATCAGCATCTCTAGCCTAGGTTAATATGCAGTAAATATTGGGTTTAGTTGCAATTTTCCCTAATAAGAATTAGCGTGGTGTTGAAAATTAAAAAAAAAGGTATAGAATCATTAGAGAAACAATAAAGAAATTATCGTCAAGTATATAGTACAGAAAATAAAAGTACATACAATTAATATAGATCGAATTAGCTGTAAATTATCAGGAGTCCCCACTAGAAAATTCATGATGGAGAAGTCATGGAAATGATTTTCCAACTCAAATATTCTTCTTGCTGACGTCGTTTAGCAGCCTAAATTTCCTAAAATTAATTTGGTCTGCTAGCGTATTATTACAGTTCACTTTTGTTCGCAACGGTCCCGGGCAAATCATCTCGATCATTCGATCTAAACCTATACCTTTGCTTGAAACCTGATATTCCGTAGGGTGGTGCTCCAGAAGTTGACATTGCAAGGGCAAGGTGCTTCCTTTCATTAACTAAAAACTAATTAAACATCGAGGATATCACAGGACAGATCTTAGCCATATGTCTTATCGGGCAAAATTATGATGATGTTCGCCGGTAACCTGCCCATCTAATCTATCCACATAGCCTTTCGGAAATTCGAATCTAAAGACACGCTCGAGCGTGCTTAGTGCTCTCCACCGGAGTAGGCTAGCTATTTTCCCAAGCAAAGGTTAGTTTGCATGCGCATACTTGAAGCATACCACATTCACGTGGGGAAGACTTGTAAGGTCTTATATATAGTCTTACAATATTTGCCATCGGAAACCACACGAGGAACCTGACAGATCACATAATAATATGACAAGATTAGGCTTGCAAAAGCAGAAATGCAATATTTGTGAGTTGTGATCCGTTTACTATCTTTTGCTGTTTTGCATGGTTTACACGTCTGCAGCTCCTTTCTGAGCTATATATATTTTTTAACGACTCACACCAAACAGCGTGAAGTTTATATTGACAGAGCAGGAAAAAAAGTTACAAGATTACAATCTTAGGAAATCGTAACCAGGAAAAGAAGAAAAAATAGCCGCCACCCACACACCGACAGCTCCAGCAAACATCCTTGTGAGAAGGCTAGCACCGGACCGGCCGCCGCTAGGCCAACAAAGGAGTACAAGTGATCGAGGGAGAGAGGATGAGAGAGAAGATGGAACCTCTCTACCCCCTAGGCCCTTCGATGTGGCCATCTTGTATAAGCTAGGGCATCGACACAGGATGACAAAGTCTAGAGCGAGCTTGCACCATATGTCTGGGAGGTTTCCGCAAGAGGGTTGCCAAGACGACATCTCCAGGGGAGAAGCAACGGAAGCACCGCCGCTGCCGTCCATCAAGGTCTCAGAGAGAACCAAGACTAGATTTTCACCCGGCAGCCCTGCAAGAGGAGATGGAACAACACGACAACGCCCTCAAGAGGGGAAGTGACACCCGAAACGCCATTGTTGCCGCCATACAAAACCAGGATAGGTTTTCACCTGCCACCCGCCGCCTGTCTATCCACAACTAATACACCATTGCTCCACCACAGTCTAAACCTCTGTTGGCGCATGGATACCGCTGCACCGGTTCCCCAGCCGGTCCAGCCTCCGCGTGCCGTCACACGGCCACCCTCGTCGCGCGATCCACGCCGGCTTCCAACACGCGTCCTCACGCCGCACCGACCTCCCGCCGCTGACCATGCATACTCGCGCCACCACCATGGCCTCCAGTCAGCGCCGCCGAAGCCTCCCCTGCAAGCCAGTGGCGCCAGCCTTCCACTACCGTCGGTGCTGTCCACACAACTACTGTCTCCGCCGCACCTCCACAGCTGGCTGTCGATGCCGACCTCCCGCTGCACCATCAACGGCCTCCCGCCGTCAACACCTCCGGCCGCACCGCCGAACTCCATCATCAACGACTCCAACCACACCGTGATGCGCCATCCTCACGCTCCCGTCACGCCGCACGTGGTTTGCTGGGGGCGCTGGGGGGGCGGTGCCAGATCCGCCACCCCACGCCGGGGAAGCAGTCGGCCGCCGCGTCCCACCCATCGCGCGCCATTACGCCAGACGTCGCCCCCTCTCCCAACGCGTTCCACTCCACCTCCCGCATCGAGGAGGAGCAACGCCGGCTCGGTTTCCCCGCCGCCGCCTTCCCAGCCCGCCGCGCGGTTTCCGGCAGCGGGCTCTAGCGGCGGCAAGGCGGCGAGAGAGGTGAGGAGGGTGGCGGCGCGGCTAGGGTTTCACAGGAGCGTCGCGGGGGACTTTGAGCTATATATGGGCACCGATGGATTTCATTAGTCGGAGCGCTGGCTGCTTTTTTTTTCAGAAGTGCACGGGTAGTCCTTAAACTTATTCGGATGTGTCATCTAGGTCCCTAAATTCTCAAAATACATCTTTGGTCCCCGAACTTGTCATGAGTGTTATATAGATATATCTAAACGGGCTCCAACCCACTCAGTGAGATGATGTGGCATGTCACAGTGATGCTTACGTGTCAATGAGATCTATATGTTAGTCACATAGAAAAATTAAAATTTTGAAAAGAGGAGAGAAGAGAAAGTGATGTTTTTAATTTTGAAAAAAATAAATGAAAAAAGAGAGGAGAAAAAAATATGTTCTTAATTTTTTTTCTATATGTGACTGACATAAGGTTCTACTAACACGTAGGCGCCACCATGGCATGCCACATCCGCACACGGAGCGGGTTGGAGTCCGTTTGGATCTATATGACACGCCGGACAATTTGAGAGACCAAAAATGCATTTTGAGAGTTGAGGGATTTAGGTGAGACACGCACATAAGTTTACGGACCACCCGTGAACTTTACTTTTTTTTTCAGGAGAAAAGGTATCGCGCTATGTAATCAATGATTTTTTATTTCCTTTTTATGTAATCAATGAATTTATTCTTGTACTGACCAATGCTGCTGACATATCTTCTTGATATACACTATACAGAATTTAGATAATCAAAAGATGTGAATATATCCAAATCATTCTGATTGATGACGCCTTATTAGTTTCTTTTCGCTTTTGCTATTCATCATGCCATAGGATAAATATTCGATTTTTCTAATAATATAACCAAAATAGCACCCTCTGAATGATGCACATAGCTGGTTAGCGTAAATATCTTGGGGGTGGGGGGGGTGGGTTAACATAGGGGTGTAAAGATTTGGCATGTCATATCAGATATTATATAGGGTGTTGTATAGGGTGTTCGGACACTAATAAAAAACTAATTACAGAATTTGTCAGTAAACCACGAGACGAATTTATTAAGCCTAATTAATCCATCATTATCAAATGTTTATTGTAGCACTACATTGTCAAATCATGGAGCAATTAGACTTAAAAGATTCGTCTCACAAATTAGTCGCAATCTGTGCAATTAGTTATTTTTTAGCCTATATTTAATACTTCATGCAGGTGTTCAATCGTTCGATGTGACAGGGTGTAAAATTTTGATGTGGGATCTAAACAGACCGTTGATGACATGTCAAGCGCCTTCTACCTCGAGTTGAGTAGGAGGCGCGGCATATTGTGGCAGGGAGGAGTCACCAATGGCAGTCATATTAGGCCGTGTTTAGTTCCAAAATAATTCTTCAAACTTTCAACTTTTCCATCACATCAAAACTTTTCTACACACACAAACTTCTAACTTTTCCATCATATCTTTCTAATTTCAACCAAACTTCCAATTTTGGTGTGAACTAAACACACCCTTAAAACTCCTGTAAGTTCAGAAATTTCATGTCACGGCTATCAGATGTGGGAATATAGACCTATAGGAAACCCTGGAAGGGGTGCCAACAATACGAGTGCAGTTCTCAATAAAATATCTTGGGTTACCTCTAGATCATAATACTAACGGTCTTATGCAATTTCATAAAATAAAAAGAAGTAATTTTACTCCCTATAACTATTTTATTGGATCAGTTAATCATCTAAATTGTTTTTCGTTCATTCATAGGATCAAGTGCTCCAATAATTAGTTTGAGATAGTACAGCCGTTCGATAAATAGAAAAATATTGTATTCTTATAGAATAATTAATACTCCATCCGTATCTTAGCACTATCAATCTAGAGATAGGTCATGTCCAAATTCGTAGTGTCCTATAGATTTATAGTAATAGAATACATAAAGCCTAAACCCTAAACCGATTCTAGCACAGTGCTATGAATCGCTTGCCTCATTTCGTGCAGTTGAGAAGCTCATCCAAACATCCATATCGAAGCGGAGCCTAAGCGTGTCAAGCGAAGCACTATAGAAGTGGCAGTGCTACTGCGACGTGCGTGTTCCCCCTCTAAATTCACACGTCAAATCAACGTGAAACACGGTGCATTCTCCCCTCCCACCGTCCCAACTCCCACGTCCGGCTCGGCTCGGGCCTCTCCGTGCCAGAGAGTTTCACTCCTCGCGGAGAAGGAAAAACCGGAGGCGCGCGCGCAGTCGTGGCCGGGGTTGGGAAGATCCGAGAGGCAAGGGGCAAGGGCGGCGTGCGGGTCTGCAGGATCAGGATCCCGAAAAGCTAGCCCGCGGCGAAGTAATAATAACTGCTCCTCTGAATCTCTCCGATCCTCTCGAACCACGAGAAGCTCAGCAGTTTCGGCTCCGCGCGCCGCCTGCCTCTCGGTCGACAGCACAGTAAATTCCGCCGGCGCGTGGTGCAGCTTTGCCGGCAGCGTGCCGCTCCCACGGCCATTTACTTCGCCTCCTCTCCTGAGGCAGGTCGGTGTCGGTATTTATGTATACTTGCACAGTTCCACTTCCCGGCCAGTCTCCTCACTCTCGACTACTCTTCTTTGGTTTTTGCTGTGAAGGCGCGCGGCTGGAGACGGGAAGACCGGGGAGGACAGGAGGATGGTGCCGGCCGGCGACCAGGCGGAGGAGGCCATCGTGGCGGACGCCGGGAAGGAGGAGGCGGAGGTGCGCGCGGCCATGGGCGTCGAGCAGGACGGCAAGTTCAGCATGACGAGCCTCCTGTGGCACGGCGGCTCCGTCTGGGACGCCTGGTTCAGCTGCGCCTCCAACCAGGTACGACCAACCACGAACGACCTCGTCATGCCTCTCGCTCACATTTCGTTTGGAATTTTGCAGGTGGCGCAGGTGCTCCTGACGCTGCCGTACTCCTTCTCGCAGCTCGGGATGCTCTCGGGCCTGCTGCTGCAGGTGTTCTACGGCCTCATGGGCAGCTGGACCGCCTACCTCATCAGCGTCCTCTACGTCGAGTACCGCGCCCGCAAGGAGAAGGAAGGCGTCAGCTTCAAGAACCACGTCATCCAGGTCGGCAGGGCTAGCTCCTCTCCTTGCACATCTTCGCGTCAGTTTCAGTTTCGTCAGTTTCCGGGTTTTCCTGCACACACTACTGCTTAATTATTTTCCCCGACGGAATTCGATCCCTCGTGATCGATCTCATGCCGGTATTTCGAGCAGCGCCTGCGTGCGAGCGAGCGTTGCTTGTCCAACGGAAAGCCGCTTTTGCATGCTCTCGCCTCCTGCAGGTTCCTTATCTGCAACGCGATCAGCATGCATATCTGCCTCCAGCCAGCCTAGTGCACGCATCAGATCAACTGGCATATGGATTAGACTAAACTTAATATGGATTATCTAAAAATTTACTATTTTTGTGTTCTCTTATGCCACTGACCAGTGGTTCGAAGTTCTTGATGGGCTCTTGGGCCCGTACTGGAAGGCGGCCGGCCTCGCCTTCAACTGCACCTTCCTGCTCTTCGGCTCCGTCATCCAGCTGATCGCCTGTGCAAGGTTGACTCGCCGAGTTCTTGAGACAAACATACATACTCTTCTTTTTTTTTTTGTAATCTTTGTTCATTGAGATGTCACTGAAATTGTAATGCATTGCAGTAACATATACTACATCAACGACCGGCTGGACAAGAGGACATGGACGTACATATTCGGGGCGTGCTGCTCCACCACGGTGTTCATCCCCTCCTTCCACAACTACCGCATCTGGTCCTTCCTTGGCCTCGGCATGACCACCTACACCGCCTGGTACCTCGCCATCGCCGCCGCCGTCCACGGCCAGGTGAGTCCTCGATCATCGCCCGCCGTCGTCGGCCATAAATCAATAAATCATCAGCCGGCACATGCTTGACCACACTGTTTATAAGCATGGTTGCAATGATTATGTATGATTCGATTCGATGGGGGGCTAATAACGATGTGTATGATTCGGCGTGGCCGCTGATCGAATTCGACTCGATGTCGCAGGTCGACGGCGTGACGCACTCGGGCCCGAGCAAGATGGTGCTCTACTTCACTGGCGCCACCAACATCCTCTACACTTTCGGCGGACACGCCGTCACTGTGTAAGTGCACTAAAAGAACCCTATGCTACTGTAAATTGTGACGCATAAACCATGCAATGCCTCTGCTAATTTTGTCATGAATGGTTATCGACAACTGGGTCCAGTGTCCAAGCCAGAATTCCGGAGAGCCATCTATGAAACAATGATGTTCGTTGTTACCTACCCTAGATTTAGTCTGGTTTCTGTTTTATCTTTAGTCTCTCCCTCCTTGGCAAACTTGTTTAATTTACGGAAACCAGAAGGGTTATCTTCTAGCCATTGGTTACAAAGAAATGGAGCATATAGCCACTAAGGTTGGCGATCACCCTACAGTCCTCTGCTCAAGTTCCTATGATGACCACCAAGCATTTCAATACTCCTAGTGAACATTCCTTTATTCCCGTTGTCCATTTCTTGTGCTTAATCTAAGATACCTGCTATGATGATCTTTGCATCGCGATTATTAGGAATAATTAGAACCAGTGAGATGTTCAGACGCCCTGGTATTAAATATTGAGTCCTTTGTCTTTAAAATTCAGCTACTTTTTTTGTAGTGGTAAAAATGTTCTTTCCAAAGGGTAGATGATATGGATTGGTTTCAGTCCAGCTAGTGCGGAGTTAACATCGAATAAACCAATCCCGCCCAACTTCAGTGATAGCCTGGTAGGACATATATCGGATCGTGACAATTCATTAACTGATCGGTTATGGTTCACGATTCCATTTTATCTTTCCGTGATAACCTTTGATTAGTGCAGTGAAAGACTACTTTGAGAATTCCTTCCCTACTCCCAAGTGTCAGTTTGACATTACCCTTCTCGATCGATCACAGTTTCTTGCCCAAAGCAATTCAGGGCTTTTTGAGTGATGAGTGATGACAGTAATTGCCATTACCTGAGAGTGTTAGGTGCTTGTAATCGGCAAGTAGCTTCATTTGGTCGTATTTGTCGGTCCCCCTCTGCTTACTTACCATCACCAGATGTGTGTCCGCGTCTGTGCAGCCGAATGATGTAGTGAAAGTTTGGGGATAATGGGAGATTCCTCATGTCCCAATCTTTATAAATATCCTGACTAGGATAAGCACTACCTTGCCCCCCTGCTTGATCTCTTATCATTCAATCAACTTAAAGTAAAGTTCTTATATATCACTTGGCATGTGTATGAAAAATGTCCGTTTAGTACGTTTTGTTCCAAGCGGGGCTAATTCTGATAGCTTCATATATGTTACTAGTACTGATATTATTATTATTTAAGATAAGATGAACAATTTCTTATTTTGCATAATCAAATAATCTGTACATGCATGCTGAATTAGAGATTGTGCTGTTGATCGGTTCACGATGAACGAAGCTGACAGTGAACAATCGTGCCTGAAGTTCTGAACAGTTGACGAAGTTTAATTAACTTTTTACGCGTGCAGAGAGATCATGCACGCGATGTGGAAGCCGCAGAAGTTCAAGTACATCTACCTGGTGGCGACGCTGTACGTGTTCACGCTGACGCTGCCGTCGGCGTCGGCCATGTACTGGGCGTTCGGCGACGCGCTGCTGACGCACTCGAACGCCTTCTCGCTGCTGCCGCGGTCCGGGTGGCGCGACGCGGCGGTGATCCTGATGCTGATCCACCAGTTCATCACGTTCGGGTTCGCGTGCACCCCGCTCTACTTCGTGTGGGAGAAGGCGATCGGCATGCACGGCACCCGCAGCGTCCTCACCCGCGCGCTCGCCCGCCTCCCCATCGTCGTGCCCATCTGGTTCCTCGCCATCATCTTCCCCTTCTTCGGCCCCATCAACTCCGCCGTCGGCGCGCTCCTCGTCAGCTTCACCGTCTACATCATCCCCTCCCTCTCCCACATCCTCACGTACCGCTCCGCCTCCGCCAGATTGGTAAGTGTGTGCAGCTACCTTTGCCTTTTCTTTACTTACCATTAAATTGCCCGAGTAGATTCCTCATATATCAATATGAAACATGCACTGTTTGTCTAAAAAAATTTAAAAATATCCGAGTAGAAATCGGGCTGTCAGTCGGTCACCAGTGCCAAAGTGACACAACCACACATTACACTACACCAAGGCACTCTTATGCTAGCTAGGATGCTACACGCATGAGCAGAACGGCTGGGTATTGCATATTGGCACGGATTATTGGTAAGCACTGTGCAGATATGGAATGGCCCCCACAAGTACTGTGATCAAAGTAAGTGTAGCCTTCCACTATGGCACCAAAGCACTAGTGCCACACGCACGAACAGCGCCGTGACGCCGAGAGCGCTCTCCCTGTGCTGCTCCGGCCAAACACCGACAGGCTCTCGGTCTCTGGTGCCCCCCAACAACGACGGCGCGGCCACGCGGATCGGCGCCGGTTTATTTGGTCGGGTACGCCTGCTCGATCGGTCGGCGGCGACAGGGATGGCCGGGGCTGACGGGTCGCTGTCGCTGTTCCGCCTTTCTCCGGCTGTGCCGGCCCCCGGCACGTACGCCTGGACCGTATACCTTATCACGCAGCTCGCCGGCAGGCGGCAGCACGGCGTGAAGGTCATATCTGCGCAACATCAACTGACGTACAGCGTGTTTGATTTTTTTTTTTATGCAAACAGAATGCGGCGGAGAAGCCGCCGCCGTTCCTGCCGAGCTGGAGCGGGATGTTCGTGGTGAACGTGTTCGTGGTGGCGTGGGTGCTGGTGGTCGGGTTCGGCCTCGGCGGCTGGGCCAGCGTCACCAACTTCATCAAGCAGATCGACACGTTCGGGCTCTTCGCCAAGTGCTACCAGTGCCCACCCAGGGCGCACGCCGGGGCGCCCCTGCCGGCTCCGCCGCGCCACTAGCCAAAAAAACCGAGTGCCACGCCGCGACGGCGCGACGCCGCGCGCGGGCCGGTGACAAAAGGAGCTAGCTTCCCCGCGGGCGTCTTGCCTTTGTGTAGTAGGACAGCAGGTCAGCAGCATACATGGTAGGACAGCGCGTGGGTCACTGACTAGATTTACCGCCCTGCAGGGGCTTCCCTATGCTGCGGAGTCTTCAGTTCATGTGTGTTGTTGGCAACTTTGCGTCGTCCTCTTTTGTTTGGGAGTTGGATGTGAACTTGGTCGTAATTTGTAGGTTCTTCTGTTCATGTTACATGCCAATATAAAACGCCATATTTGTTCATGTTTCATGCGGGTATAAAACACCATATGAATATGATTGGATCATGAAAGTAAATGAGTTATTATGCTAACTAGGAAGGTGGCCCGCGCGCATGCACGGGCACTTATATTATTGAAAGGTAAGATTACTATTTTTTAAAAAATTTTGTTTCATAGATTAAGGGTAAATTAAAGTTCGGATAATGTTATTTTATAATAATTTAAGGGTTATATTTTTCTTAAGGTATTTTAAAAAACCATTCACAAACGTTTGAGTAGGAGATGGATTAAGTACTTACGACTTTTGAATCATGTGTTTTTCTCTCTCGAGTAAATAAGAAAGGAGAAACTATTGCTAATTGATTATTATACAGTCCATCTATATCATATAGTGTAGTTTGGCTACAAATGAAAAATACGAGACTAAGATACTCAAAATTCTTGTGATTAAATCATCTCATGAAGGCGCATGATATAGTAAGAAAGGGAGGGAAGACTATGCATGGAGAAAAAAGAAGAAAGGGAAAAATGAAAAAAAAAAAGGGAGGGGAAGCGTAGTACCCACGTACGTAGGTGTATACATGTGCCATGGGAGGAGAGGTGGGACCTCGTAGTATTTAGTTTGTTCTAAGATCGATTTAATCTAACAAATTATGATATTGGACGTACATGTTATAATATTTAGATACCTTGCTTTTTTTTCTTAGAACTTCTAATATTTGCTCTAATTTATTAGAGCACCATGTGGCAGCTTGAGAGTATTTTAAGGAATTTTAAAAGACTTAACACATGTAATTAGAATATTAACCGCGTAATATGTATGTATGGGGTATATGGTAATATTTGTTCCAGCTTTATCCATGGTTATATACATGTAAAGAGAAATTAATTATGTGGCTAGCAAGCCACTAGATGTCTAATTAATAGCAAATAATTTTGCCGCATATTTACAGTTATTCATAGTAGCTCTTACATATTCATCTTATGACTTTGATTATCCGTTGATCCCCAATTTACTGATCATCATGACTCGCATGAAAAAAATGTACTACTTAGGGTTTAGGACAGGTGAAATTGATGAATTATCTGTTTTATGCGATAGCTATTTGAGGGTATAAACAAATCAATTGACTTCTAAAAAGTTAAAATGTTGTTTAAAAAAGACACCATTTAGAAACTTGGAAAGGTGCAAAAAAAATCCAAACTATGGAATCGGAAAAAAAAGATGGCATTAAACTCCCTTATAACACCCTTGTCTTAGTAAGAATTATATTGATATTAGTTAGTATTGTGCTCGTATTTATAACATAATGATTTCTTTCACCGGTACAAACAAATTGTACAAAATCCAAATACTACATAACAAAATACATTATAATTATTCTGTAATCAACTCTCAGTTTCAGCTTAAACAGAGCTAAATGTTGGAAAAAAACCAAACCCTTGGTGCCTAATTCTTCTCTCGCTACATCACACTTTTAATTTTCTTTTTATGTTATTAGCAAAATTAATCATATCCATATATGATTTGATATATGGCAAAGCTGTAGCGCTGCAACGGTCATGATCACCTTAGATGCCTCAGACATGATGCTTTGTCATGCGTGCGAAAGGCAAAGGTGCAGACGTGCATTATGCAGCGGGCCAAAAAAAACTTTGGACATTTTATTTATTAGCAAACAATAGATCTGATGATTTAAATAATGGGTCCACCAGTCCTAGTGTAAGTGTAAATTAGTTAAAATAGATTTTAAATTGTTAATTAAATGGGTACACAATATATAATGGTATATACTTTATTTTAAAACAAACCAAATATTATGGAGTCCCACCTCTCCTCGAAACAGTGCATTATTTGAGAATAATAATCCGCTGTAACAAAAAATAGATCCGATGATTTAAATAATGGGTCCATCAGTTTAAGTGCACATATAAATTAATTAATATAGATCTTAAATTGTTTATTTGATAGGTACACAATATAATTGTGTAAATTTTATTTTAAAATAGTGCATTATTTGAAAATAATAGTACAAGTAATGAGTACACCGGTTTAAGTGGAAATTATTTTACATTATTAGTTTAATGGGTAACATATAATGTGTAAATTTTATTTTCAATAATTGTAGAGCTGTATGACGGTAGACTCTTTGGTTGTAAAATTATGATTATTTAAAAGAAATATATCCATTATATAATGAAAAAAAGAAGAAAAAAAGGAAAAAAAAAAGGAAGGAAGCATACGTACCATACATGGTACACGTTTGCATACATATGTGCGGGTGAAGGAGGAGAGGTGGGACACCATATTATTTGGTTTGTTTTAAGATCAATTTTATCTAACGGTGTATAATTTTGGAACCACCAATTTAAGTGAAAAATCAATGGATAGATGCTTTGCTTTTTTCTTAGAATTTCTAGGATTTTCTCTAATTTATTAGAGCGCCACGTGGTGGCTTGAGAGCGTTTGTAAGAAGTTTAATGGACTTTTAGTATATAATTGATGGTGTTCCATGTTCGCGTCGTGTTCATTTGTACTATCGTACACAAGACGCGTTGTGAATTTGTGATAGTTGAAAGGAAATGTATGATGTAGGCAAAATTTTGTTAGAGGACAATCAAATGTGTAATTTGCTGGAAGACATCGTAAAACGTGTCATGGCTAAAAGACACTCTAAAAACCTGGTAATTTGCTTGAGAACACTTTTAGCTCAATTGAAGAGAGAAATTATTAAAAAAAGATGAAAATACCTCTATGGTCAAAAGATTTTGAGCTGAGACTAGAGTGAAGATGAAATATAATGTATACTAGTGTGCTGTAATTGGGGTGATCTAAATTTAGAATTTCATAATTGGAAAAAGTACGAATTACCACCCCCGAACTATCATGGTCATCCGAATTACCCCCTTGAACCACAAAACCGGACATTCTTCACCCCCAACTATGCAATCCGCGGTGGTTTTGGTCTACGTGGCAGTCCATTCAGCAATTTATTTATTAAAAAAATAGGTGGGCCCCACCTGTCAGTTTCTATCTCTCCTATCTCTTCTATCTCACTGTCTCACTCTCTCTCTCTGCCTCTTCTCCCTCGGACGGCGACGGCCGAGCCAGCAAGCGCGGCGGAGGAGGCAGCGGCGAGGCGAGGCTAGGCGAGGCGGCGGCGGCGGTGAAGAGCAGCGGGGGCAGAGGAGAGGCGAGTGCGGTGGGGGCGGCGGAGAGGCGAGCGGTGGGGGCGGAGGCGAGGCGGCGGGGGCGAGGCAGGGCGACGCAGGGGCGGCGGGAGGAGGCGAGCGGCGGCGGGGTGCGGCGGAGGAGGCGAGCGCGGTGGCGAGGCGATTGGCGGGCGGACGACGGCGTGGGGATTCACCGTGAACGCCTACCTCCTCCCGCCGCTGCCGCCGCCGGCGACCGGCCCGTTGACCCGCGTCCCTAAATGGAAGGACGTCGCACCCCGCCGCCGCTCGCCTCCTCCACCGCCCCTGCGCTGCCCTACCTCACCGCCGCCGCCTCTCGCCTCGCCGCCACGCTTGCCTCTCCACCGCCTCGCCTCCTCCGCCCCCGCCTCTCGCCTCGCCTCCTCCTCCTCCTCCCCCGCCTCTCGCCTCGCCGCCGCCCCCACCGCGCCCGCCCTGCCTCGCCGCCGCCGTCTCGCCTTCTCTGCCCCCGCCGCGCTTGCCTCTCCGCCGCCCCCACCGCGCTCGCCTCTCCTCCGCCCCCGCCGCTCTCCACCGCCGCTGCCGCCTCGCCTCGCCTCGCCACTGCCTCGGCCATCGCCGTCCTCCGCTTGCTGGCTCGGCCGTCGCCGTCCGAAGGAGAAGAGGGAGAGAGAGTGAGACAGTGAGAGATAGGAGAGAGAGATAGAAACTGACAGGTGGGGTCCACCTATTTTTTTAATAAATAAATTGCTGACTAGACCGCCACGTAGACCAAAACCACCACGGATTAGGTCGAGGGGGGTAATTTGTCCGGTTTGCATAGTTGGGGGTGAAGAATGTCCGGTTTTGTGGTTCGGGGGGTAATTCGGACGACCGCGATAGTTCCCGGGGGGTAATTCGTACTTTTTCCTTCATAATTTATAAAGAGAGAATCCATTATATGCCACTGACTTTGTCACACGTCCACGATTTGCCACTGACTTTGTCACGTTCTACAATATGCCATCGATTTTTGTTTAACTTCTACGATTTACCATCGCCGTCCGGTTAGTCTCCGTTAGTATTGTACAAATTTGTCGAAATGACCAAAATACCCCTGAGACAAAAACTTTCAAAATTCGGATACAAATTCTAAAATATCAGATTTTAAATTTTTGGCCAAATTTTGGATGTTTACAATCTTATATTTATAATATGATATTTTGTTAATTTTATCCAATTTTTGGAAGTTTTTGTCCTAGGGGTATTTTGGTCATTTGGACAAAATTGTACAGTGCTAACGGAGGCTAACCGGACGGTGATAGTAAATCGTAGAAGTTAAGCAAAAGTCGATGGCATATTATAGAACATGACAAAGCCAGTGGTAAATCGTAGAGGTGTGACAAAGTCAGTGGCATATAATGGATTCTCTCATTTATAAATTATTACTCTCCTATCAGTGGCATTCTTGTCTTCTTCAAGAACTAGCATGGTGGCCCGCGCAAATCGCGCGGCTAGCATCATTATATTTTCTCTCATTTAATAATATATATGTTTTCTCAATGTATTATTCAAATATATTAAAATGACAACATAATTTTAAAATTTTGTATTACCTTTACGAAACTACTAATGTATAATATTCATATTGTATTTTATATACATGTTAGTTATTAATTATTTTTAATATCAAATTTTAGTTATTTGTAAATTATATTCCTATATGGACTCTAGACTCGTCTTTTAATATTTATTTGTTTTTAATTTCGAATTTTCGTTATCTATAAATTGTATTTCTATATAGACTCTAGGCACTTCTTCTAATATTATTTATTTTTAATTCTGACTTTTTCTTTTTTCTAATTGTATTTCTATGTGGAATCTAAACTCATCTTTCAATATTCTTTAATTTTTAATTTCGAATTTCAGTTACTTCTAAATTGTATTCTTATATTTACTTTAGATTCTTCTTCCAATAATTTTTTAATTTCTAATTTTAGTTATTTGTAAATTGTACTTTTATACGAACTCTAAACTCTACTTTTAATTTTATTATGTTTATTCCGAATTTTAGTTAGTTTTAAATTCTTATATGGACTCTATACTCTACATCGAATATTCCTTATTTTTAATTCTAAATTTCTATTATTTCTTAATTGTATTTCTATATAAACTATATACTCTACTTCTAATATTCCTTATTTTTAATTCCGAATTTCTATTATTTCTTAATTGTATTTCTATATGGACTCTATACTCTACTTCTAATATTTCTTATTTTTAATTACAAATTTTTATTGTTTCTCAATTGTATTTCTATATGGACTCTAGTGTCCTCTTCCAATATTCCTTATTTTTTAATTCCGAATTTTCTATTTTTTTTCTCAATTGTATTTCTATATGGACTATAGTGTCATCTTCCAATATTCCTTATTTTTTAATTCTGAATTTTAACTATTTCTAAATTGTATTTCTATATGGACTCAGTTTTTCTTTTTCTCCAATTAATATGAGAATTTCTAGGCTATGAGAGCGAACGTGGAGGCTCTTTTTTCTATTTCTTTAATAAGTTAATAGATTTATCTCTAATTAAGTTAAAAGTGTCATCTAGCAAATTCCTAATTTTTTAGAATATCTTTTAGTCGTGACATGTTTTTTCTATGCTTATCAGCAAATTACACAAGTTTTGGGTGTGCTGTAGCAAAATTTACCGATGATCTATGGTGGGCTGTGGCCGCCCAAATTTATTTTCACGTTTGTAAGCCCATACTGTCACGCCGGAAATAACAATTCGTTTAATCCTAAATTGGGCTTTTAGCCCATGTAGAACAGGAGTACTAGTACACCACAAAGAGTCCTTTATGGTAACGATTTCGTAGAATTTTGTGATTTAGGCGACCAGAAATCAGTTAATACTCGGTTTGAGATGGCGATGAGGCGATGAGATCATTGCCTTTTCGGTCGAATCTAGCAGAGCGGCGAGCAACCCCCACCCACTTTGACTCCGATCCTCCCCGCCCCCAGCGCGATAGCCCATCCGATCCCAAATTCCGGCGAGATGGCGGTCAGCCTGTGGCGCGCGGTGATGGGCGCGGCCGGCGGCGGCGGCTCCTCGTCGTCGTCCGCGGCCGGCGGCGACGCGGGGGGCGGCGTGGAGTTCTGGCACGGCGGGGAGCGCACGGGGTGGCTGAACAAGCAGGGGGAGTACATCAAGACGTGGCGGCGGCGGTGGTTCGTGCTCAAGCAGGGGCGGCTGTTCTGGTTCAAGGACGCCGCCGTGACGCGCGGCTCGGTGCCCCGCGGCGTCATCCCCGTCGCCACCTGCCTCACCGTCAAGGGCGCCGAGGACGTCATCAACCGCCAGTTCGCCTTCGAGCTCTCCACCCCGACCGACACCATGTACTTCATCGCCGACTCCGAGAAAGAGAAGGAAGAGTGGATCAATTCCATCGGCCGATCCATTGTTCAGCACTCCCGCTCCGTCACCGACGCCGAGGTCGTCGACTACGACAGCCGCCCCAACTCCAAGCCCCCACCGCAGCCGAAGACGAGCGAAGAGAGTGAACCGTCAGCGTAAGATAGCGGTGATCTCTGGCTCTCAATATGCATATCTATTGTATGATTTTATCTACTCAAGTAGTAGTAATTGTGAATTTTTAGTTTTTGTTTTCTTCTCTTGGTTAATTATATGTATATTATTGACTGCTACCTGAGAATAAGTTCAAGGTTTTGCCGTGTGGCTAGTTCTTTTACATTATGGATTAGTTGCAACAGCATAATTCGGTTGGTGTTTACTTGTTTCATCCTGTATGAAGTTACTGGCTTGGATCATCGGTGCTGCGAAAAATTTTAAGCACTCAGTTCTTTAATTTTCATTATGGGGATTTTCGTTTGTCACCAATGGGAGCCTGAAATGTGGTTCAGAACATCAGATGCAATCCTCTGTATTGTATAGTAGTACTGAAGTTTGGGCTGTATTCAGCTGCATGTTTAGCTTTGATCTTAATCTTGTCATTTGGAGTGGATGCCCCAGCTTTGTGCTGACCTCTTCAATATTTGTTTGTCATGACCTGATTGTACCTGAAATCTGAAGTCTTAATGGTTACTATACTTTGCGGTATGTCACCTTCTTTTTAAAACTGTTTGAGTAGAATTCTAGTCAGAAGTCAGAACTAATTAGTATATATTCAGGGCTTCATGACTTCATGCATTGGATATGCTAACAAGCAGGCTGTTTCATAATGTTTTAAACCTATTGAAGCCTCAAATTTTCTGATAACAATACTACTTGTTGAAGGTAGAAATAAATTTTACTCTTGTTAGTCCTAAAGATAGCAGTGATATTTTGTCATCTGATATTTGTTTTCTTAATCTGAATAGCTTTGATTAGTTTACAGCCTACAACAGAGCTTGTTGACAGGTTTGTCATGCTGAAAACTGTTCATTGATATGTCTGCCTGTTTTGATGTTAAAAGTGAGAGAAGTATTATGCATGGTAGTTCGTTGGAAGTCCACCGACTTGGTATTATGTCTTCCGTCTTCTGCTTGTTTTGATGTTCAAAGTGAGAAGTATTATGCATGATATACTCCGTATGTAGTTTGTTGGAAGTCTGCTAACTTGTGATGTTGAGCAAGATTCATCCATAGGGTTTGATATTTTTTGGGACAGAAGGAGTAGTTCGAAGCAAGGTTGATTTAGGCCCTGTTTAGCTTCCAAAATTTTTTTCCCAAAAACATCACATCGAATCTTTGGATACATGCATAGAGCATTAAATATAGATAAAAACAAAAACTAATTGCACAGTTATGGGAGAAATCGCGAGACAAAGCTTTTGAGCCTAATTAATCCATGATTAGACATAAGTGCTACAGTAACCCACATGTGTTAATGATGGTTTAATTAGGCTCAAAAGATCCGTCTCGCGGTTTCCTGGCGAGTTATGAAATTAGTTTTTTTATTCGTGTTCGAAAACCCATTCCGATATTCGGTCAAACGTTCGATGTGACACCCAAAAATTTTCATTTCGTGAACTAAACAGGGCCTTAAACAGATTGAACCCACACCAAAAGTCCTAAACAGATGTCCCCAAAACTGAACTGCAATGATCCTTCGTTCGTATTGATAGCAGTGGAATATTGGGTGGTTCAAGTCTGGCTATCCATGTCTCCATCACTCCATCAAGTCCTTTGAAATTTGAATTTCTGGATCTTGTCTTCTTCAACTTTGTCCCTTACCACTCACTATGGTCCTCGATGGGCATGTAATGATCTTTTTAATGAAAATGACCCGATCAGCGAGTAAATAAATTCTGAGTGAAAATGAAGCGAAGTACCTTACTCCACATTTTATCGCTGGTTTTCTCCCATGTACATGTAGTCTATTCTAGGCCAAGCGGACTATTTGCACTTCTTGCATGGTTACGTCCTCCTGCGGTCCTGCCTAATATACCTCCCTACCTGTCATTTTGAGGTCGATTATTGCCTAAATGAACCGTACCAATATTTGGTACTGCTTAATTTTAGTATAGTTTAGCGCTATCAAATTTTGGTAGAATTTGATGCATTTGGTTTAATGCCTTATTAAGTTTTACTAGTGTTTTAAGAGTAGAAGTTTCCAAAATTACCAGACTTTAGTAAACATAATATTTGCAAGAGTAGAGCTGAGTCGGGGTATTTCAATTAGGCACAATATATTTTAAAAACTTTTATATAGGACTCAAAGAGGATTTTGGAGCCAAACCTAGGGCTCAAGCCCTACCTTCCCTAGGGTGGCCTGCTCCTCCGTCCAGGAAAGCATGTCGTTTTAAGGTTGATTGAACAAATTAACAAGTAAAAATGACTATATTACCATCATTTAATCATTGCATTTGTCACTTCAAATTATGCTGCAGATAATTAATTAATCACTTATAGTAGACCATCTATTGCATTGCACACACATGGGTAATACTAGTAGTGGTACTGTTGTATAGGGAAATAATAGGTTCAAATGAATCGATGGAATATACTAGGCTCAGCAAGCTGGTCAAGATGCTCGAACAACAAATTTTGTGGGATATTTTTTTAACAACAGCGGCTTTCTGGGATGGAGAAAGTAAAAATTATACTCTGAGTACAAATGACACGTTCTTTGACAGAAAGACTGTTTTTTCAATGGAAAACCTTCCGCAATGGAAAACCCGGAAGCTTGGGCCTCTGGGCCTAAAATTCCATTACGTAAAGGCTGGGAAACACCCGGAAAAGGTCGAGCTGACCTGCCTTGCTAATGCTAGGTCCACCTCCCGGTTGGCGCCCGCGGGAACCGTGTGAGGTGGCCGCGTGTAACGGCGGAACTCTCTCGAACACCGAGACGCTCTCCTCTCCTCCTGAGTCCTGACCGACGCGCGAGATCCAACGGGAAGCCGAAGCCGAGGAGACGAAACGAGGGCCCCCGCCCCGTCCCCGCGCCCGCTCGTCCTCGTCCTCTCGCTGCGCCGCACCTGTCCTCTACTGTCATCTACTCCCTCGTCGGCTCGTCGCCGTCCCCCCTGCCAACCTGCCAGTGCCAGGGGATCTCAGCACCCTCACTTCCTCCCCACCGCAAAAAACCCCCACGAAACCCTCGTGCTCCCTTCCGTGCCCCACCACCCCTGCACTGACGCGCCTCGTCGCCACCCGATCGATCGATCGCCTCGTGAAGCGCCCCGCGCGCGGCCCCTCTCTCGACTGAAATCGGAAATCCCCACCCTTTCTCCAATCTTCACCTCTCCCGTACGACATGGAAGCCGCCGCGCTTGGCGTGCCGTTGGTGCAGGTCCGGGCTGCGGTCGCCGCCTATGGCCGCGGCGCCGGCAAGGGCAAGGGCAAGCGGCGCGTCGTAGGCGCTTTCCACGCGCCGCCCGGCCGCCGCCGGACGGCGCTCGTCGCCGCGCTCCCGGAACCCCTTCAGCCGCTCTCGCCAGCGCAGGACGGCGCCGTGGCACTCGCGTCGACTGAGGTACGTCGCCTCGAATTTGAAACCATTGTACGTTGCGATTTTGAGATAAACACTGGTTACCTCCGTTGCTGCAGGCTGATGGTGGGGAGGAGGTCCATGGGGATGTGGCTTCCGCAGAAATCTCGTCTCCCTCTGGTGGTGAGCCTCCTCTGCTTGGACAATGGCGTGACAGTAGAAATGGTGAAAACTGAAAACCTCTGGTGGCGATGGATATTGTGATTTATTGTCTATCAACCTGTTATTTCAGTTCTTGGGAAGACGGTGCGTGTTAGATTTGTGCTGAAGAGGGAATGCACGTTCGGCCAGAGCTTCCACCTTGTCGGCGACGACCCGGCGCTCGGCCTCTGGGATCCGTCGAAGGCAGTGCCTTTGGATTGGTCAGAAGGACACGACTGGACTGTGGAGAAAGTGAGCCTTGCATCGTGCGCATTGTTTGATGTACTCTCCTTTTGAGGTAATCATCACCCCTTTTCTTCTGTACAGGACTTGCCAGCCAACAAGTTGATTGAGTACAAGTTCGTGCTGCAAGATTTGTCGGGCAAGTTGCATTGGCAGAATGGTCGTAATAGAAGCGTACAGACAGGTGAAACTGCAAACATTCTAGTCGTATATGAAGATTGGGGTAATGCAAATAGTCAGACAGTAGAAGAGGAGGGTAAAGTGTCCATTGGGATGGAGGAGGGTAAATTGTCCGTTGGGATGGAGGAGGCTGTAGTTCCAGATGATAGTGAAAGCAGAGATGATATTATTGTAGCAGATGAGCTACAGGTGGATGACAATCTAGCGGTCATGCAAAATGAATCTAGTGTTCGAGAGGATGACAAGAAATCAACAGTTGGGACAGTTACTTCTGTTCAAGCTGAATTAATGAAGCTACATGAAGCTAACCAACCAGAGGTAATGGCTTAATGAGATATCCATTGCAGATACCTTCATGTGTTTAAGTCTATTTTCTACCGAAACCCCAGAGACATTCTATATATTCTCAACTGTCGGCTGAAAATAATTAGTTCAGTGTCCCCTATATGCTCGCTGATTGAAATGTGATCCTTTTTTTATCTCATTAGTTACTCTGCTTTCTCATCTCAATTAGCTTAGAGGAGTCATGATGCAAAGTAGTGACTGGTTGGATTTCATATGAGAGTTTTTAAAACTATTTACTGTTTACTGGAACACCATATTGTTTCTATTTCCTATTTCCTGATAATGTATTTAGTGTGCAAAGAAACTGAATTATCAAGTGTCAGATCATCCATTCATTAGAAGATGTGACATAGGTGTAAACATGGATAAAATCAGGGGCTCTGAAAAAATATAGGTGGTTTTTAGTGTACAATGTGAGCTTTTTAGTGCCTAAATCTCATCAAAATGTCCCATGACTTTGGCTGTTGTCTAGACATATCATCCTATTTTTATAGTTAGCTGTTACTTGCTCACTCTATGCTGCTATCATACTTATATATAATGCAATTTCTGAATCAGTTAATTGTAGATGAACCACAAATTCAAGAGGCGCTTCCTGAAACAGCGGACACAGAACCAGAGAACGGCGGTGTGGCAACGTGCGCTGACGACCGTTATGCCGAAAGTACAGATGATGACGGTGTTCCAGTAGGAGGTACAGATGATGACGGTGTTCCAGTAGAAAATCGGTGGACCGGTGCTTTTGAACATGAGTTGCTTTGGGGTTGGAAGGCCCTGCAGCAGCTACTCATGAGCCTGGGCTTCAAGATGGATACATCATGAACGAGTCATAAGGTACTGCAATACATAGGTGGCAATCTTGATGTATTCTGTTCCTTCCATCGATTTAGTACTAGTAGTAAAGACTAGCAGCTGCTGTCTGTTGGTATTGTTTGAACGTTCAGTTCTGTACATATTATTTCCCAGAACCAAACATCAATAAGCTGTCAAGTTTGTTCTCAGCTAATGAGCAGCCACACTTCAACACTAAGAAGATGTGTAAGGGATGTCCATCAGCAGTATATATACTTGTCGTGAGAATTACGACCATGACAAGAATCGCTCAAAAATCCTAGTATGATATTTGTGCTGCACAGCTCTCCTCTAGTGCGTTGTAATCGACAATAAATCCGATTCTGGAACAGCCTGCCATTGAAAGGGCGGGCTTGAGTTAAGGCTGAGTTCATTTCATCGACTCCAGACGGTAACTTTCTCATTTTCTTAGTCTAGACTGCTAGTCGGTGTGTTGTGTAAAATAATTTATATAAAAGTTTTTCAAAATAAAATAAATTTATTTTTAAAAATTATAATAGTTGATACATAATTATGCGCTAATGATACGCCTATATTTTTCCAAGCGGAGCTACTGATTCGAACAGGGCTGAAGACCAGCTTCACAATGGCAGACAAAGCACAGCATTTTCAATTTTGAATAAATACAACAGACCTTTTCAAGGCATAGTACAGGGCATTGGAACAAAGGAAGGATCTCCCTATATTACTATGAATTTCCTATGAAATGGTTCGATCCATTTGAATTTTGGAGAAAATATAACAGAGGTGGTAGCCCTCGCGTGGAAAATCTGTGTGTTTGACTCACTCTAAATTCATGTGCTCTTTTATTGTGGACCATCTTTATAAAATGATGCCTTTTGCATAGAGTTCTATAGAGGACCTAAGATTTTGTAACACCCCTTTAGCAACGACAACACAAACATATTAGTAGCTTATTAGGCCCAACAAATTTCCTATATATTTTAAGACATCTAGCTGTGGTAACTCAAAAAAGTTGTGAACTTTTCGTATATACCACTCCAAAAGTCTCCACTCTCCGCTGTGAAAAAAGGCTTGTTTGAAATTTAGAATCTTGGAATTAGAAAAGATGCTGCCAAAACCTATATGTTTTAAAAAAAATTAAAAAAAAACTAAGGACACCAGCTCTACCAACTTGATACTAGTAATACGGAAGAGAAATAAAAACACCATATCTTAAGGGTATAATAATGATGTCACGCTTGGAAGAAGATGGCATATACTACCTCTGTACCTAAATATAAGGGTTATAAGGGTTTTTGGTTGGATGTGACACATCCTAGTACAACGAATCTGGACAGACCGTAGGACGGAGGGAGTAAGAATTTGATGAGTGGAAGAAAGAGAAAAAGGGGGAAGATATCGTAATAGATGGCTTAATACACACTCATATAGTCGAATAAATAATTATACAAATATATTGTAACAACTAAATAGACAACATATTATATGAGTTATCAATTCATAATATTTGGCATTCTAACTACCAACAAGATTTTACATTTATATTTATTGTGTAACATACTTTAATAATATAACATGTTTTTTAATCTTTACTCATTTATTTAGGAAATATAAGTGGCTAAACTAAAACAATACAATGGGGTTGTTTAGATTGTAGCCAAATAAACCTTATCAAATTTTGGCAATATTACCAAAAATTTGGCAGGATTTCTTACGTATTTACCAAAGATTGGCAAAAAAAAAAAACTAAATGTAGACACATTTTTGGCAACTTTGCTAAAAATGGTGTAGTTTGAAATGGCATTATTTTGAATAGCCGCAATGTTAAAATTGCCAAGTATTAAGAAATCGGGGAGTAACATAGCATCCACCCCATATCCCCAAATATGACCTTATTATTTCTTTCTCATTTAGTACTCTTATCAGTGCTAATACTGGTCTTCTTTTGCTCCTCCTTTCTAAAAGCGAGGCTACTAAGGAAAGTCACTCCATAACTTTTTGCCCCCTCTATCGATCATCTATATGTAAACAACCGTGTAGATTAATTGCTTGATTTCACTTTCACATATCTCATCTTTCTTCTATCTCTATCTTCTTGCCTCAAAAAGACCAATTGTGGTCGATGTAAGATTCAATCTAAGATGATTGAGCACCAAGTGTGCAAGCAAGCAATGAATGCACATTTTTATCATCTAGACCAACAAGCATAATACTCCTCTCCATCTAGTTTTGATCGACACATTTGGTTCCAGCATGGTGGCAAAGGAGGACACAAGTTCCTCCATATTCCATTAACTTTGCAATCCGCATGCCACTTCAATTACGTACATGTATGTATGTGATAGGTTGTTGCAAGCATGCATGCGACTACGCATTAACTATCTGAGACATTGTTATGCTAAAAGCATTGTCCGCAGCCAAATCATAGATCAATCCTACGAGTTTTTTTTCTTAGGAAACTATCAAAACTATATGGAGGGAGTATTATATATTCTTGGATTAGAGTATGTTTTATATGGTTTCTTGTGGAAAGTTATTACAAAATAACTAACAACGATAATGTAACTAGGGAGGCGGAGTCTTGTGCAAAACCATAGAGTTCATTATCTATCGTTATGGACATGCATCAGGAGATAGAAATTAATCATTTTGTAAAGGAAGAAGACAAACAAGAAAAAAAAAGGTTTATCCATTATAACTGGATGATCGATATCAAAAGAAAGTCATGACGTAACTTACATTCACCATATTAGAGGATCTGCATCTCAGCGAGACATGTGTTAGCTGAGTAGTTGAGCCATGATAAAATTATATAATGAATAGCATTGTAAGCCATTGATCCATTGTAGATACCGACAACACAGGAGGCCGGTGCTTATTGGGGCAATGGAAGACCTTACAAGTGGGACGAAGGAAGGGCGCACAATAGAGACTATGAGGAGGAGACTCTGAGAAGGGGATTGCATTAGGAAATAGGATAGGGGATAAAAGTACAAATGACATTTAGTATTAGTGTGTTATTTTTTCTGAAAAAAATTAATTTGTCATATATATCGAGTTTTGCCAAACATTCAGTCAATCCAAAAGCATGTCTTCCCTTCCATAATTAGTTTTTTTTATAAGAGATACCTTGAATCTAAACACCTTTCAATTAAGGGGCAATTACAAATTTACCAATGTTTTGAATCGTTATTGCAAGACTGCCACTAAAAAATTGCAAAAATGCCACTAAAATAGTTATTCGAGTAGCATCCTTACAAAATTGAAAAAACCGATGGCAAATTTGCAAATGCCCCTTCAATTAAAGAATTTCATGTACTCCCTTGATTTTTAATAGTTGTCATTCTAACTTCTTTGATCATTAATTTTTAATTTTTATAGATCTGTAGTTTAATAACATGTGAATTATGTTATGAAAGTATTTCTCACGATAAATCCCAATACATAAATGCTAGTATGATATTAAAACATTATGAATTTTTAAAAAACTGATGGTTAAAGATACATTAGCACAAAGCTAAAATGAAAGTAATTTGAAAGGGGCTGTAAATTGTACATTAACTTTGCGGCAGCCGTGCTTGCTAGTACAAATTATAAGTAACAAACTTTTGTGACGTATAGTAGCCTATTCTCTAGAAATAAAAAAGAAAGAAAGAATAGACGGGAGAGGAAAAAACTATGGATGGTTTTTGGACTTCTCCGCTACTCTAGACCGCAAGGGACGCGACTTGTTCAATGGCCATTCTTCTCTGAAACACTAGACTAGAGAACCCCGCATCCCACTTCTTCCAGGCTCCAGCTCTTCTTCACCCTAACCCAGATCCGCGGGGACCCAGCCGATTCGCCCAGCCACGCCACCGAGCGCTCGTCTCGTCTCGTCTCTCGACCCAATCCCGTCCCCCGGCGCGACGCCCCGCCGCGCGATGGCCGACGGCGCCAGCAGCAGCGGGGCCGCCTCGGCCTCCGGCCCCGGTGGCGGGGGCGGCGGGGAGTCGGTGGTGATCGACTACGGCCGGCGCCGCACGGCCTGCGGCTACTGCCGATCCACCGGCCAGACGAGCATCTCGCACGGTACGATCCCGGAAAAGTCCCTTTGGGTGAAAGGGAGGAAAAGGAAAAAAAAAGAAGAGATAAAATAGAGGACTAGCGGACTGGGGTTCTGTCTGCGTGCGGAGTTGTTCTGTCTTCGGTTCGAGTCGATGCGTATGATTGCTAGATGACCCCGAAACAATCGAATTTCAGGTGTAGATATTGCCGCCGATGAAATTGGCTAAGTACCATGTATTTAGTAGCACATTACGACACCATGTCTCATAATTTGGGTTGTGGAGAATCGATTCGTTGTTTATGCCAGCTTATGCTCAGGAATTTTGTTAGAGCCTATGCGAATACATGTGTGGATGGTAATATGCATCGTTGGACGCTAGTAACGCAGGCCACCTATAATCTTGTGGCCTGGGTCTGCCCATGCTCTCAAGGAAGTAACATTTGGCCACCAAACTACAGGATGTGAAGTACTGCTGATAGCCTATCAACGCTGATCTTGACCCCCTTTATTTTACTAGCGTATGCTACTGATCTTGTCTTTATTAGATATGGCCTTAGAGCGTTTCAGATGCCTCCGTTTTGCGCTTCACCTTGTTTACATCAATGGACATCCAATTCTGTCTCTGAAATGGGATGAAAATCATGCTGCCGACGTGCTTATTGTCTACTCTCAGTCATAGGATTAGTATAGAACACATAATGTTATCAACAGCTAGTAGAGTCGCCTGTTGCAATTTCATGGTTATTCAAAGTTGTATCTGTGACGTGTCCCTTATGGTTATGACTACAAATATGTTATACGATGGTGATAGTTGTAATATGTTGATGCAATTATTCTGTTGTTAATGTCCCTACCTAAATTGGTGTTATAGATTCTTTATGTTTCTTTTGGTTAGTGATGGTATTTTTCCTTTTATAATTTTCAAGGTCTCTAAGGAACGGGCCTTCAATATCATAGGTTGTTTATATAAGAATAAATTTCACAAAACCCCAGGTTTTGAAACATAATTACCACAAACCCCAGGTTTCAGGGTCTACTTTAAGAAACCCCATAATTTGAGGTATTCCATTTCACAGAACCCCACTTCCGTCAATAACACGTTGTTCCCTGTCATCTCACATGAAGGGCCTGCTGGTTAGTCACCATTCAGCTAGCCTGTCATCTCACGTTGTTCCCCGCATTCATCTTCCTCTACTGCTCTAGATCTGAGCCCAATCTTAAAAAAAAAGATCTGAGCCCATACTTGCACCACCGAGTAGCAGAACGGGGAATGTAGGATCTCCATGTTGGCTCATCACCCGGAGAAATTTCCCTCACCGCTCTCCTACTCCTCACCATTGGGATCCTTAACCACGCCTTCGGCTTCTCTTTTGATCTTCTCAATGGAAGGCAGGGAAGGGGAAGGAGAAGGAGAAAATTGTGGTTGACATGCAGGACCCACCTGTCATTTGCCGGAAGTTATAGCAGAACCGGTGTTATGTGGTACATATGTCTCAAAAAGCCAGGGTTTTATGATAAAAACGTAATATCTGGGCTTTTGTAATACATGTGCCTCAAAACCTGGCATTTTGTGAAATTGTTCATATTTATATAGATAGTTCATCCTTGTTTTTCTCCATTTTTTTGTTATTCTTTTGAAGCCTATTTTAAAACCTTTTACTAGGATCCTTACTTATTCTACTTATCTTGCAGGTCTATGGGCTAACAGCCTGAGAGCTGATGACTATCAAGGTACTACTTTTATTTAATTGCATATTTTCCTTCTGTATGCAACCTGGAACTGTGCTTCTTTTAAAATAGAGACCACTAAAATTGAAGTGGTACCAAGTAACACCACCAAAATTTTTCATCTCTATTCTATACCACCAAGTGGGAACAAATCTACCGAAAATACCACCACCATCAGTTCATGGGGTAGCAGTTTTAAGAAGGACCAGAATGTGTGCCGTCGCCGATGATTCTACATCACTTCCGCTAGTACTTGCTGGAGATCCCTCCATTGCCTGTCCACCACGTCCTCAGTCCCATCCCCATGGACGGCATCAACTCGTTCCCGGTGCCCCTGTTCTAGGTTTTGGCCTTGAATGGCCAGTGTGGCCACCTATCTTTATCGCCAACCAACTCCTCGACAATCTTGTGGTGCCATGGGTGGCGTCTCAACCGTCATTGTCTCATTGCGCGGGCTGGTGGCGGTGTGGCTATGTGCTGACCAGAGGTGAGGGAGGAGCTCTCTGCACACAGTTAGCAGCCGCAACGGTGGACGGTAACACCTATGCTACTCCTTGCCCAAGCTTGATGCAAGCATAAAATCTGGGTGTGCTTTGTGCAGTTAAGGCAGGGGGCTTCTCATGGAGTAATGGTGATCTGGGGTGATGGAGGTTCATGCTGAGAGAAATGGAACCATGGAGGAGCAGAGACAATGAAGAAGAAGATTAGGGGTATTTATGTCATTTGTCATCAAAATTGAGTTGAGACAGCTTGGCTGACGGTAGTACAGTTTATCTTTTAGAGTGGTATTTTTTAGACAATGACGGTAGTACAGTGGTACGAGTATTTTTTTAGAGGTTTTAGCCTATCTGGTGGTTTTTCTTGGAGGTGTACAGTTTTTATGGTATTACTTGCTACCGCTTAAATTTTGGTGGTATTGATGTATCCCTCTTATCTTATTTTCAGTAAAATTGAGAAATTTGCATATGTGCCATCGCAAAAAACTGGTTTCGCTAGAATGCTGTTGCTCAAATGGGCTACAATAAAATGCCACGGCTAAATAGGGGGTGTTCGCTAGAATGTCATCGTGGACGGTATTTCCCTTGGATCTTCTTCTTCCTCCAACACCTGCCAATTCCCTCCATGTCATGTCGTCGTCCCATGGCAGAGCGCTCCAACCTGGCGCATCCGATGAAGTAGCCGTCGCTGCATATGCATTGGTTACAGCAGCACCAGCACTACAGGATGCCATCGCCGCCGAGCACGAATGTGAAGCAGAGCTCCTTGTCTTGGCAGTCAGGCACTGGTGGTGGGCATCATGAGCTGCTGCTGGAGCCAACGATGGCATGACATGGAGGGGAATGACCAGCACCCAACGTCGAGGGAGGAAGAGAAGATCCAAGGGCAATATTGTCCATGATGGCATTCTAGCGAACACCCCTCGTTCGACCGTGGCATTTTATAGAAGCCCATTTGAGCGATGGCATTCTAATGAGGCCAGTTTTTACAGATGGTACAGGGACAGATTTTGGAGGTCAAATGTTTCTTCTGTTTGTACACATACTTTGTAGTTTGTAATATGAATATACCATGTATGCCTTTCAGTTCTCATCCTTAAAAGGCTCAGAAAAATTAACACTCCATATATGGCCAAAGAATACATTTATAATTACTGTAAGGATTTGGAATTTTGGATGACTAGGTAGCTAGAATCAAGTGGAATTTAATTGGTCTTTTCTTTATTAATTATTTTGTCCAAGCATTGAATTGCATTACAGAGTGTGATGTAAATAGTGGCAGGTAATGATTCTGTTAACCAAAGACTTGGGGTATCCCAGATGATTATGGACACATGTTCTTTGTACAGCCTCCTGGCTTCTGAAGTTGGCTGAAGAGCTATGCATCTGGTTGGGGGAGGGGTCTGTTTATGGTATTTGAATGTATATTTGTACAAAGCTAGCTGTTTTTTCTTGAACAGAGCTAAAGGAAATTCATGATAACTCTATAGAAAAACTACACTGGGTTATTTTGGGTGCCTTTTAGTTGAGATTTCATAATCTTTGAGTGTCCATGGGCATGATGACACGGTTTTATTTCATCAGGATGCTTAGGATGTGAACATTTAGCAACACTAAGTTCCACCATCTCTTTTTTTGTCCATCTTTTTTTTTTAATGTCCGACCGTTCGTTGCAGGCGTGTGCTTCAAAAGGCACCATAGCAACCCTAAAAAAAGGCATCATAGCAGGTTCAAGATCCATTTAATGCATAACAAAGTTATTTAGATGAAATTCTTGGATGAGGCAGGATGAATACATGTGTTGTGATGAGCATGCTGATAGTTGTTTTTTCTATATTATACATGATTCAGAAATATAACAGCTTGCTACGCTATACTCACCACGTAAAAAGCAATCATATTGCATTATTTTTTATTGCCATTTCACCTACGGAGAAAGAAATTATATCATAACCATAATATGTAAAAGCAACAGCTTGTGACTTCAAATCAGATCTATAAAACAAAGATGTTTTCTAAAAGTTACTTTGAAGCAATTTGCAACAGAAAAAAAATGCATACCATGAAACAAGTGTATTGAGAACACAGATGCATGTGTGGAAGTTGTGAGTTTAGCTAGAGATTTGATAGAAATTAGAGCAAAGGTGAGGTGGGATAAGCTGACTTATTGGTGAAGTAATAGAATTTTATAATTGAGATATTGGATATTCATAGTTTTTTAAAAAGTAGTTCTTCTGCTGGCATAATTTATCATGATTGAAAATTATGGCTACTGTTTACAGCTCTTCTTGACCGTGGGTGGAGGAGATCTGGTTGTTTTCTTTACAAACCTGAGATGGAACGTACTTGCTGTCCTCAATATACAATACGCTTGAAGGCAAATGATTTCATTTGTTCGAAGGAGCAAGGTCGTGTACTTAAAAAGATGCAAAGGTACACACCTTTTGTTTTATATTTTGCATATGCACCTGTGAAATTGTTAACATATGTCGTTTAGCTTTAGTCACTAAATTGTCCTGTGTCATGTCTTCACGCTTCATTTCACAGGTTCCTTGATGGTGAGCTTGATCCACAGGTTGGAAGTCCACAGAATAAAACTAGCCCTACAAAACATTCACTCGCTGAACCTATGAATATGCCGGTCTCAAAAATATCCAAGACATTAACAAATGATTTTCAAGCAGCCAAATGTCCAAATTTATTTGAAGAAGATGAGTTCATCAGTTGCCTGTCTAGCAAAATTAATGAGGCAGTGGGTATGTCCTTCCAAGTTGGTACATTAGGTTCTGATGTTCAACTCCCTAAAGCTGTTGTAAAGACTGTTAAACCACAACTAAAAAAGAAAGTAGGAGGAGCATCACAAGACAAGAAAGTAGGAGAAGCAGTACAAGATTTATTGTACACATGTAATATAAGCTTTCAAATAGTGGCAGAAATCAGACGTGCATTGCCTAAGGAGAAGGATGCTAATCACAATAAAGTAGTAGCAGATATTTCTCCAAACTCTATTGCAGAAAAGCTGGCCATGACAATGGAGTGCCATGGAGATATTGCTGGTTTAGCAGTAAAAGCCTGCAATGGCCATCTGAACTTCTATTCAGTCACCAATCAGACAAAGCAGAACAAAACCAGTATCATTGTGTCTACACATGCTCCAGATAAATCTAGTAGCTCAAAGCAAAGCTCTGTGAACAAAAATACTGTAAGAGTTCCCCAGAAAAGAAGAAAGCTTGAAATTAAAATGAGAAGGTCACATTTTGATCCTGAGGAGTTTGCTTTATATCAAAGATATCAGACAAAAGTGCACAAGGAGAAGAAAGTTTCAGAAAGCTCATACAAGAGATTTCTAGTGGATACACCAATCGTGTTTGTTCCCCCGCGGAGTGGTGATAATACAGTTCCACCTTGTGGATTTGGTTCATTTCACCAGCAGTACAGAATTGATGGAAAACTTGTGGCAGTTGGTGTAGTTGATATCCTTCCTAAGTGCCTGTCAAGCAAGTATTTGTTCTGGGATCCTGACTTTGCTTTCCTATCTCTTGGAAAGTATACAGCTCTGAAGGAGATAGATTGGGTCAAGACAACACAGGAGCACTGCCCCAACCTTCAATATTATTATCTTGGTTATTACATACATTCCTGCAATAAGATGAGATACAAAGCTGCGTATCGACCATCAGAACTTCTCTGTCCAGTCCGTTTCGAGTAAGACGCTTCTCTTAATTTTTGACACATCCATGTATTATTTTATGATGCAAATGCAACAGCACAGGCTCTATAGAGAAGCAACACGGTTGTGTTCTGTGTATTAGTCTTAGTTGAAAAATAATACTACCTCTGACCCAAAATATAAGGAGTTTTAGGATTGGACACAGGTGTTAAGAAAATTGGTGGAATTAAATAGGGGGAGGTTGTAATGTTTGAGGAGGTGGGTAGTGAATTTGAATGGTGGAAGGTTGTTATTGATTGAGAAGAGAATGTAGGTGGAGAAGTTATTATATTTTGGGACTAGTTTTGAAGGCTAGAAGTTGTTATATTTTAGGACGGAAGGAGTAGCTAGGATGTATCTCCTAACTGCATCTTTGAGGATTCTGATTCAAATTCGAAGGATTTTGTTCAAGTCTGAACTGAGGTTCCCAAAAAGAGTCCATCTCATCCTAACAGGCAGTCTTAAGGGTATAATTAATTTGCACGAGTTTTCTGTAAATCACGGTTTACAATTCAACTACATGCTATGAAAAAATACAGTAATTTCTCCTGCTCAAAAAGATTATCACGAACATAGCTAATTTTATGTTTCCAACCCAAATATTCAAACCGCAGGCTTTCAAATTCTAGGCGATAGTTTGTTTTGCTTATTGAAACAAAGCGTTTATGATAAAGTTTTGGAAGGATGACTATTTTGTCTTTCTTTGGCTGCTAAACTATCCATACATCTCTGATATTCATGTCCTTTGTGCAGGTGGGTGTGCTATGACAGTGCCAAACGTTTACTAGATAAGAGCCTGTATTCTGTCCTATCTGATTTTGCCCAAATACAAGATGAGATGCCTCAGCCACAGAATTCTCATCTTGATACTGAGTTATCAAAAAATGACAATTGTGAGTCTCCCATCGATGAGGATGATGAAGATTTGTCCTATGATGACTCAGACATGATGGTTGATGAAGAGATGGTTCGATCAGAATCCAACACTGATGTAATGGAGGATTGTTCCAGCATAATTGATTTTGAAAATGTCATGATGGATCTGAATGGTTCTCGAGTTAAATATAAGGTACTACAAACTGCATATACATAAAATTTGACCTACAACCCAAAAGAATTGCAACGGAGGCGTGTAATCAGGCAGTCTGCAATTTTCCTTTTTAATCTTGTCATGCTGTTATTAAATTGCCCATCCTTTTGCAAGTCCTTTGTACAGAACATGCTAACAACTATATATGCTGCATATATTGAAACTGCATAATAATTGTGTAGGAATTATATTTCTTTGCTCTCATTGTGTTACCTTATCTATCCGACAATATGTTCAAGGCTGTTGATTTATGCAGAATGCATTAATTGATGCTTTTTAATACTGCTATTTAGTTTGCTCATGTACTGCAACATTGGTTTTTTTACTTTCGCTTTCAGGATCTTCTGGGAGTCGTTGGACGAATCGAGAGGAGGCACCTCGAACAGCTAGAAAGGCAATTGAGCAAATACGTGAAAGTTGTAGGGAAGGAGCTATCTGATCGCATGGTTTATTCCCTGTAGTTGGCCTGCAATTCTGTCCCAAGGGAGCAATGCGACCATTTAGAGGTACAATAACATGTTTATGCTAATCGCTTCGCAGTCGAATTCTGGTGGGTTCAGGTTGGAGGCTGGAATGACACATTTTTCCGGCCGATTCGTTATCTGTCATTGAAGTCCGTATTCCATAAACTGTTGGCCGAAGGGTATAGCACAAGTCGTTTGGTTTCTGCACATGATTCTACATAAAAATAGCACATCTGTTTCTTGATGAAAAAACTCGAGGACCGCAGGCGTTGAAATGAGAAGAATATGTGATTTACAGAGTGTCCAACTGTTAAACAGCATTTCACTGTGGCTTCATCCCGCATGCTGTTCCTGGTTACGGGAAGCAGCAACACCGCTTGTTCCAAAATTTGCTTGTACTGTGTCAACTCACAAGCACAAAGTTTCAGGTACATCGTACTGGGAGCAGGAAGCTGGAAGCCTCTCGTTGCACAGCTCCAAACTAGACGGTAGGTGGGGAGCACCACCGGCGCGTTGCAAAAGCCAAACGGCATGCGTTGGCCGTGCTGACACCACGACTCGCCACCAGATGCCGTCACGACACCTCCGTCACCATGCCAGCGGCACGGCACGGCCCGGCTCGTCTCATGCGGGGAGATTCCCGCTTTCCTCCGTGATTTCCTCCACATTAACCACCGGTGTTCGCTTGGCTCCGTCGGCCCGGCTCGTCTCATGCGGGGAGATTCCCTCCCCGCTTTCCTCTGCCATTTCCTCCACATTCACCACCGGTGTTCGCTTGGCTCCGTCGGCCCGGCTCGTCTCATGCGGGGAGATTCCCGCTTTCCTCTGCCATTTCCTCCACATTCACCACCGGTGTTCGCTCGGCTCCGCGCCCGAGGCACACGAAGGCCACGAAACCTATCAACCTCACCGCAGCTGCCATATGCCACACCTTGCCACTACTGTGCCTGGCATGACAACCAGACGGACGAACACACTGACACGTAAGAGCCAGGACTGCAGAGCGGTGCTACTGGCTGCTGTGGCCATCAATAGACAGATTCACAGAGCTGAAAAAAGACGATACCGTTCTATTCCGAGTAGGGCCGATTTTAGTTCCAATTTTTTTTTCAAACTTTCAATATTTCTATCATATCAAAACTTTTATACACACATAAACTTCTAACTTTTTCATCACATCGTTCCAATTTCAACCAAACTTTCAATTTTAATGTGAACTAAAGGTGTGTTTAGTTCACGCTAAAATTGAAAGTTTGGTTGAAATTGAAACGATGTGATAGAAAAGTTAGAAATTTGTGTGTAGGAAAGTTTTGATGTGATGGAAAAGTTGAAAGTTTAAAGAAAAAGTTTAAAATTTTCTAACTTTTTCATTACATTGTTTCAATTTTAACCAAACTTCTAATTTTGTCGTGAATTAAAAATACCCTGAACTCGGCCTAAACACATCCTAGGGGAAAAAAGTGCCGGGACAAAAAATGCAGCACACATTCCGAGTCATGATGGACCCGGGGGATGCTCGGGAAGGGGAGATGGAGACGGTGGTCGCCTTTGGCGTGACCCGCTTTGGGAGCGGCGACCCGCGTGCCGGCGACGGAGAGGCCAGCGAGACGGTGTGACAGACGCGTGGGATCCATCCACGCTCGGTCACGGGGATTGGTCCCACGCTCTGCTGCAGTGGGTAAGCGAGACCCCGTCGGAATCGGAAGGCAGTTTTTATTTGATCGCGCGGGACGGCAACTGCCAACACACATGGGGCCCCCGAGGTCCTTGGGGATGCACTTGGGGCTTCTCATCGTGTGTCCCACCGTGTTGCCGTGATAAGTTCAGAAATTATGTTGCATTCATTGTCTTGTCACTAGTGTTTTTCATTGTCTTGTCACTGGTATTTCTGGATGATTTCGGCAGCGAATGAATTCAATCGACAGTTCGACACTACTGTGGAGCAATAAAGCTTTGTTGCGCCAAAGAGGAATAGACAACCCTGCAGAGCGCTAACTTCTTCCCGATTTCTAGGCTTGACCCTCTTTTATCACATTAGATGCCCAATTCATTTCTTTCACTAACCTTCTTGTAGGTTTTCCCTGCCTCAACTGTGAGTTGCGTCCCATCGCTGGTTGTGAGCATAGTGGATTGCTATTTGTCTAGGGGGTGGGTTCTGCCAATGTTGGGTGGAAAGACCAATCGTACGAGAAGATATGGTGCAGCGGCGGCGGCGGCGACACGACTGAACTTTGTATAAAAAAACAACGGTAAGACCATATAAGTTTGTGTTTAGTTTCACGTTAAAATTGGAAGTTTGAAGAAATTGGAACGACGTGACGGAAAAGTTAGAAGTTTGTGTGTGTAGGAAAGTTCGATGTGACGGAAAAATTAAAAGTTTGAAGAAAAAAGTTGGAATCTAAACAAGACCTAAATATCTAGTGTTCTAATATGTCAGAAAACTCTCGTCCATTTATGATAGATTTGACGAGTTCAGTGGCAATCGTGGTTGAAGATAAGATTGAGGTGCACAGAGAAAATGCGAAAATGTTGCGTGTCGGGTGACCGGCGTGGGGGGAGCTGGATCGGGCGCTCCCCCCCCTCCTGACTCGCACGTGACTCCTCCTGTTCCCACCACGTGTCTCCACCATATACTCCATTGCAACAAATCACCCACATATTTTAGAAATACTCTATTTAGGGAATTTGGTTTTTTTGTTCCACCAAAAATGTTTCATCTAGTGCACTCACAATGTTTCACTATATATAGATCTAATGTTGCAGTGAACTGAAATATTCCATTGCAACAAATCACCCACATATTTTGGAAACTATCTATTAAGGGAATTCATTTCATTTTTTTGTTCCACTAAAAATGTTTCACCTAGTGTACTTATAATGTTTCACTATGTATGGATCAAATGTTGCAGTTAACTGAAACATTTTTTCGCTATTTGCTGAAACATTGTTTTTATATAATGTGAAACAACGCTCAATTTAAACGATTGAAACATTTTCGATCTACTTAGTAAAGCAATTCCGATATACCTGGTGGAACATCATGTAACATTTAAAAAAATTCAATAATAAGCTTATTTTCGTCGGAATATATCCATGTGTGGTCTTATTTTGAAGATTTAATTGCAATGAATTTAATGGTGCAATCGAATTATGATTTGGATAAATAATTTAAAAAAAATTATTTTAAAGTGGTTTTGCATATATGGGTGGCACTACGTCAGCGCCCGATTTTTGGAGATTTGGATTGGGCGACCGATCCCTAGTCACCTCTGAGAAAATGTGCTTGTAAGAGCAGTCATAGTGCTCCTACATGGTATTCAGCTTTGAGGTGCCACATATGATATTCTCCTTCTCGTCCGTAGCATGCGCGCCCCCATTATGTCTCTCGTATCCCTAACAACATGCCCCGCTGACACCCGCTACATCGCTCAATTTTCTTTGCATTGTGGAGCTCCATTTTTCATTTTTCCCCGTTGACGCTTGCATTGTTTTTCTTAGACATTAGGCTTTTCTGGACTCTTTGCACTGATGGTGGAGTATCTTATGAATTGGGCTGAGATGGCACGTGAGGCAAAACAAACGAGTGACCCACTACTATTGGCCTAAGGCCATTTGTGCAAGACATGGCTAACCATTTCTCTACAGGAGAGAGAACATGCCACATAGCCTGAGACCACCCTCCTTTTTTACAGTGCAAATAGTTCAAGTGGTGTCTTTGATTTGGCATGTCAGTCCCTATTATTTTTTTATTTTAGTCCTTGTGTTTTGATAATTTATAGGAAACTCCAATATTTTGCACCGAACGCTTCAAAAATCAGAGCATAATATAAAATTATCCTTACCCACTCCCTTACTGCACGGATGACACTACTCTCCCTCCGCCCCCCGCCGGTCGGCACCACAGTCGCTACTCTCTCACCATCCACCACTGGCGCCACTCTCCCCTTCCACTTTCTCTACTCGAAGGTAGCTTGGGGCCGACGACACTTGAAGGTGGTGGTTCTTGGTGACGACAACCCCGAGGATGGAGTGGAAGTGTGCGCTCCGCGACCTCGAGAAGGTGACTTTGCTGGTGTATATCGAGGTGAACTCCGAGGATCTAGTGGAGAAAGCCAAGATATACGGCGATCGAGGATACCTAGCGACGGTTGCAGAGACCTCAACGGAGTTGAGCAAGTCAAGGTGAACGGAGCTGTCAGTCGCTACTCATTCTCATCATTTTCTCGTCGCGGCAGGTTGATAAGTCGTCTCGGAAGGGAAAAGGTAATAATGGAAACCAAGCTGCATCTTGGTGGACGCTTGGTAGAGCAAGCTTCATCAGAGGGGAGTTGCGGGGCATCCGAGCTTGGAATCAAGTGGGTCGCTTGGAATACAAACTTGTCCTTGGTGGTTGCTTGAAGAGACCAAGACACTATCAGAGGTAGTAGCTTGAAGAGGAAAAGGCTTAATCGAAACCCGGCTCTTCAGACCTCCTTATGGTTTCATGATTGGTTGGATTCGAATTCTGTAAACAAATCGGTGTGTTTCTCTACTTTGCACTTATGGTTTCATGATTGAGATTTTTGGCGATCATACTATGCATGCTTAAATCTTTTGATCACCACTTAGTTATAGTTTAAAATTAGTGTGTGTTGACGGTTATGAAGTACCAAATTAACGCCGTCAAAACCTGCATAAATCATAAAAGTAAAACATCCAACATAGTGGTAAGGTTTATTTCTAACAATTTTCACGAGTGTTGGTGTATATTCGTTTGCAGGTGACAAACTACCTAAGTTGAGAAGAAATATACATGAAGGAGGAGGAGAATCAAACGTGTATCCGAACATATGGAGTTTTGGACCCAGAAACCCAATTAAACACCTCCAAATGGGCCTTCTATCCATACCAATAGAATGAGGGGGCCAAAATGAGTGTCCAGGCCGAAATTCGGAGCAAACGGTGCCGTCCCAGGTTCGGCTGAACCCTGAGTTCGGCCGAACCACTGTGGAGGCCGCTGGCCCAGAACCAGGTTGCATTCGGTGGATAACGCTCTCCCTATGACGGTTATGGCGTTAATACCGGTAGAAACCGTCATCAGAAGGGACACTTGGCATGAGAAGAGAGAAGATGCTCTTTGGTTGCTTGGAGCATCTCCACACTCCCAAGACACTTCTCCCCCTATAAATACCCCTCTCATCCTCACTTGTAAACACATACTTGAAGCATGAGTTGAATTACAAGAGGCTCTATTGTACTTTATTGTATACTAGATTAGGGAAAGAGTAGAGTAGAAGAAGTGGGAGGAATTCTGGAGTTGTTGGTAATCCTCTTCCTATTTCATTCTGCTCTGTTTATTACTCTTATTATAATTGAAATATCTTTTGAGTAGTTTAGTTTTACTCGGTGAGAATTATTTCTTAGTTAGTTCCTATTCAGATGGGATCATCGTTCACTATAATCAACTAAACTATAGTGATTGCTTTAGTGAGTTATAAACACTAAAATAGTTATTAACTGCGTAGACGTGGTGTCTAGGTAGTTGATTTCCGGTGTTTGCTCCGCATCCCACAGTAGGTGTGAGGTGGGTGTAGAGGTGGTGACAGTCCTCAATATCACTGAAGTCCTCCCTGTCCGGGTGCGCAGTAGAGCGATATCTGGGAGCAGCGAGCTGGCCAGTGTCCGAAGTACCTTATTAGGATTAAAGTTAAGCTTTTCGTAGACATTGTTATTCACCGGTGAAACCTCTCTATCCTTTGCCTATCTATAGCTTCGTGTCCTTGGATGAACCTAAACTGGAGTTAGCACACACGTTCCCTGTGGAAATCGATGCATGAGAATAATCCCGAGTGAAGTGCTACATCAGTATATTCCGTGTACTTGCGGATTTATCTGTGATCGTAAGAAATACCAACAGTGTGCAAAGTGTCATACCTCATATAGGTTTCATATTCTCTGTATAAAACCGGATTGTCCCTTATGGTCAGATTGTGTGACGCTTGGTATTGTCGAACTGTTCAGATCTATACATGTAATAGGTGAGTTCCTTCCTGTTTTCTCTATGTTTGATTAGATTGTCCAACACCATGTGTTATCGGACTATCCGCAGTGGCACATGATTTATCGGATCAATTCTACTTGCCACTGTAAGTTTTGTTGCTAGAAACATCTATTTACCATCCCTCTAGGCATGACAAACTATGATAAAGTATGGTTAACAACCAAACAACTCTACGAGCGATGCTAGGATCTTTTTTATCCGTATTTGATATTTAAGTCTTCCTAAGTGGGCTTTTAATCTCTAAGGATGAGGTGCCAACGAACGTCCTCAGACCCGTTTCACTTGATTAGGGTAGCCGCATCTCTTAGAAAGATAAATTAACCCTATTTGTAGGCCTCCAATAGAGTTTTCCCTACCGAGATTAAGTGCCTATCTTTATCTTCACGTTTGAGACAAACGCCCATAATAGTTTTTAATTCGGATAATCCGAATCCAATATATTTTTAAAATATTATATTTGTATTGTTGATTGGTTTCGTGCTGCTAAAGTTTTAAAAATTATAACGGTTTTATTGATATATATATATATATATCCGATCCATTTTCATCCCCACTTAACGACTGCATGGCGCGGTTCGCATGTAACATCTTCTACCTAGAAAATGGCGAAAGACGAGAACCCGTCTTACCTCCATCTGATATTTCTCTCTTCACGCATCCGTGTCTTCATCCTTGATCCTCCACACTCTCTTTCCCTTTCCAATGGTCAGTGCGAGCTGCAGGTAGGCGTCGCCTCGGCGAGAAGGCGCAGGCGGCGGTGTGTACGGCGTCCTCCCCTTCCCGATTCCGCCCGTAGCCTCCTCCTCCGTGGCCAGTGTGGCCTGGCGCCGGCGTGCGCACAGCCGGCGAGGAGGTTTGGTGGGGGATCGATCGACGCGGCCAACCTCCTTCCATCTGCCTCCGTTTCGGTTCGAATCGAAAAAAAATTTAGGGGTTCAGTTGAACCCCGGCAATCCACGTTAGGTTCGCGCCTTGGCTATATTTTTCCCCTTCTTTTTCTGGGTTTTGGGGAGGTTTTTCTCGTTCCATTTTCATTGGTTGCTGTCGTTTGTATTTCGCTTTGTGTGCAATTTCATCTTAGTCTTCGTGTAGGTTGTGGAAGAAGCAGCCATGGATCCCTCAGGGCTCAACCTGCAGGGGAATCCTGCTGAGAACCAGGAGAGCTGGACCTCCGGCGTGTCAGTTGGGAGGGGCACCCCAAATTTGGGTGTTGGGACGGCCGTGGCAGGCCGGAGCTGCCCGCCATTGACATTGTTCCCGGGATCCTCCCTGTCGTCGACGGCGTTGCTGAACGCCATGCACGAGGGCTCCTTTCCACAGGCAGCCCTGGTGGCGGGTTCCGGGAGCAGCGCCGATGAGCAGCATGGTGGGCCCCCCGTACGGCCATCCTACAACCTTCCTGCAGGATGCACGCAGGTGCCGATAAGTATCCTGGTGTTCCACAGGAGGCTGACGGGGAGGGGATCCAGGCGTCGGAGCTTTATGCCGGCTCCTGCACTGTCCGGTGTTTCAGAGGGTGAGCATTTCTTGATGTTTCTTCTTTTAAGGTTGTTAGATGGTGTTATGGATGAATTCACGTCACGATCGACTGACTGCCGTTTCCGATTCTTCAGCAGATGGAGCTTCTGGGCCGATTCCTCAAAGTGATTTCTTGTCGCTTGGAGGTCCATCTGAAGTTTTTGCAGGTGATTTGGCAATGAATCATTCAGAACCGGCCATTTCATATGGGTACAATTCAGAGCATGCACCTATGCTTCTTCAGCCAAATGGTTTATACACTGAAGCTTCCAACACTGAAAGTGAAAGAGAAGCTAGCCAACTGCAACAATCAGCGGAAGCTGTTATCTGTGACAGCCACAGTAAGTTGGAATCGGTTATGGAGAAAATTCAGGGTCAAAATCCTCAAGAATCAATTGGCTTGGTTGCAGAGGGTTCCACTGATGATAACATTCACAAGTACCATCAGAAAGCTAAAAGGGCCAGGACACAAATCACTCACAGTGACAAAATGGACTTACCAACACAAGCTGTATCTGCATGCAAGGAAAAAACACTAACTCAGATAGAGATGCAGATTGCAGATGCTGAGAGAACTGAAGCATTCAAGAGTGAGGATGCCCCAGCACAAAAGCTGAAGACTCGAAGGAGAAAGCACAGGCCCAAGGTAATCCGTGAGGACAGGCCAGCCAAAAAGCAAATGTCCACGACATCAAAAGAAAAACCTCTCAATCAGAAACCCAAAAGAAAATATGTGTGGAAGAATAGAAACCCCAGTTCTTTGGAGAAGTGCGCAGAGCCTTTTAGTGACCATTCAATTTCTAGAGAATCCAGAACTACTGTTAGAAGCAGCATTGCATCAGTTCGAAGAAGGCTGCAATTTGAGTTCGGGGAGCATGGGGTGCAGAGGGACCAATCATCAAGGACCAATTCATGGTACCGAAACCAGGAGAAACCTGTAAATGCTGAGAGTTCTTTGTGCTCAGTGACTAAATCATCCGTGCAGGTTGAACATGGGCAGGAATTACACATGGAAAATTCACCAGAAGGGTTGTTTTTTGGCATCAACTCCAAACTGAACAAAATTTTAGATGAGTACATACATTTGCCAGAGGCCGCACCAAAACCTTCAGAGGAAATCCCACTGGCTACTTCTGGTCATGTTAGCGAGGAACTAGCAAGGAAACAAGATGATGTGAGACACATTCATGATCACAACGAAAGGAGTGGTCTGATCACAACGAAACAGAACAAAAAGGACTTAGACCTGAACTATTCTAACACAAATGGTTTTCAGATGTATTGCTCGGCTAGTTTGTTACCAGAAATGGACTCCACAAAGGGCCGTATGACTAAGGTATCAAAAATGGACAAGAACCAAAAACGACATTATGGAGGTGAGTCCTCCCTAGCTGGCACACAGAGCTCCATTATCATGAGAACTGCAGCTGAGATGCTAGCAGTTTACCAAGCTTGTGGTATTAAAAAGAAGCGATCGGCCCGAGTCCGCAGGAATTCCTTTCTTTCTGTTATGGATCTTGAGAAGAATACTTCACAAGAATCAACAAGATTGCCGCGGTCATGCATGGAAGCCCTGTACGAGAGTTCCTACATAAAATTTATGACCAAGAAACGTTCACAGAAGGCACGGCTCAACTCTCCCAATTCCATTCAACCAAATATAGATCAGAAAAACAGGTTTTCATCTGAAACCATTTTTTCTGGTGGGTTCAATGGATTGAAAAGATCAGAGGAAACTTTCCAGAAAACTTTACCTCAGATTCCAGATGATAAGAGGATCAACCTTGACATTCATTGCGAAGTACCAGTAGAAAACTCACCAAATACATCAACGCCACCATATATGGATTACCTTCAAGGAGTTACATCAAAGTTTAGATACTTTGATTTGAACACTGAGCAGGTGCATAAAACTGAGATGCATTTGTATCAAACCATGCCCTCTCTTTCTTCTTTAGGAGCAACAAATTATTTGCCGAATGCTCTAGTCCCATATGTTGGTGGGGCGGTGGTTCCTTATCAGACACAATTTCATTTAGTCAAGAAGCAACGCCCTCGAGCTAAGGTTGACTTGGATTTTGAAACAACGAGAGTTTGGAACCTTCTGATGGGTAAAGCAGCTGACCCTGTAGATGGAACTGATGTTGATAAAGAGAGATGGTGGAAACAAGAAAGAGAAGTTTTTCAAGGTCGTGCTAATTCATTCATAGCACGTATGCGCCTAGTTCAAGGTACTTTTAGTGCTGGAGTAAATCCTTTTTTGAAGCCCATAGTATGCTGAGCTCGTTTTCCGCGAGCCTACTTTTTACCCTGTCTATTACTGTGTAGACTATCTCAGGAGCTTGTCAGCCATATAGAATTTTCTTTAGAAACAAAGGGCAAAGCTCCCGCCAGCCATATAGAACTCCTTGAAATGTTGTCAGGTTATTTGATCCATTATTAAACCACCTAATTTAAAGAATTTGTTTAAATGCGCTGTATATGATCTTACAACTTGGTGGAGGAGGAATTACAAAAGCATCTCTTATGCTGAAGTAGCTCCACTGCTCAACATGGGGAAATTAGCATGCAAAGGAACTTTTGAGATAATCGTATGTATGTGCTTAGATAATCAAACATATATACTTTCTTTTATAATCTTATAGGTAGCATTCAAACTTCACAGTTTGCAATTTGACGAGCTAACCTCTTGTTTACAAACCTGAGTTCAGGCCTTCATCTCCAAAGGGTGGAAGGAAATCTTCCATGTTCATTAACAGTGTTGAACAATGTGATCACGGCCATTTAGACTTTGTAATGTAATCTTCGTTTGACCATTGCAGTATACAGGAAAAAATAGAAAAGCGACCGTGCATTGTTTGCTATATAAAATTCCGTGTTTTATATCCAGGATTAACGTTCTTAGCTAACCTTGCATTTGCCTGTTTATCAGGTGACAGGCGCTTTTCTCCTTGGAAAGGATCAGTAGTGGACTCTGTAGTAGGAGTTTTCCTCACGCAGAATGTAGCGGATCATCTTTCCAGGTATGATATTCACAATCAGAGTGCTTCTAATAAATTTTTGATTCTTTTGCAATAAGGAAGTGAATGTACCAGCACCTCGTCGTGACGACTATTTTTGCTATATACAGCTCTGCATACATGGCCCTTGCCGCAAGTTTTCCTCCAGGGTCAGATGGCAATTGTAATGATGGCATTGCTGGTCAGGACAATGAAGAAATCATTAGCACGAGTGCAGTAAGAGACAGAGGCACATTTGAATTCTTTTATGATGGGTCAAGACCAGATATAGGATTAAATTTTGAGGAGCTCTCAATGGCCTGTGAGAAGATCCACATGGAACCAAAGGGCAATGCTACTGTTAATGAGTTAACTAAAGGCGAAAATTATTCTCTTCATTGTAAAGAACCAGCTGGAAGTCTTTGTGACCACGAGACAAGAATAGATCATAAAGCAAAATCAATTTCAGATATCTCCTTAGTAGAATTAACAGCACGTATGAAAAATCTACATGCGACACAGTTCCAGACGGAGATATCATTATCCCAAAGTGTTGTAACTTCAGAGTCAATTCTTCAACCAGGATTACCTTTGAGTTCTGGGATGGATCATGCTCCTAGAAATTTTGTTGGTGGCATTAGTGACACAGCTTCTCAGCAGGTGGGAAGCAATTTTGATGATGGAAAATCATTAACAGGAAATGATGTCACAGCCAATGAAACTGAGTACCACGGAATCAAAGCAGCAGCAACAAATAATTATGTTGTAGATGAACCTCGGATTCCTTCTGGTTCCAACATGTATCCATTTTTCTCAGCTACTGATTGTCATCAACTAGATGAGAGGAACGACATACATGTTTCTTCTACCTCTCCTAATAGTTCTATAGGTTCTGCATCATCAAACTTTAAAATTGGCACAATTGAGGAGAACAGTTCTTTTTTCATGCCATTTGATGCTCATCTAGCGCAGATGAATGGAAATATGATTGCTGGCACAAATGTTAGCTCGGCACTGGCAAGCACAGAGCTTCCAGGTCAGCAAGCATCTCTTATCTCTACCACTTAATTTAACACTTATTGTTTATATGTTAGTTGCTTGACAAAAACTGGATGCCCATGCAGTCAAATTATTACATTGTTGCAAAAGGAGTTGTTATGAAGCATCAGAGTTTCAGGACCATGAATCACTATATGCCACTGGTGGAGCGATACCCGAAACAGCCACCAAAGCTGATGATTCAACCTTAAAATCTGGTTTTGCTTCCTTCAATGGATTGCCAGATACAGCAGCACAGGCATCAAAACCAAAGAAACCAAGAACCACAAGTAAAAAGAACAGTGAGAATTTTGACTGGGATAAATTGCGAAGACAGGCTTGTGGTAATTATCAGATGAAAGAAAGAATTTTTGACCGAAGAGATTCTGTTGATTGGGAAGCAGTAAGGTGTGCAGATGTACAAAGAATTTCTCATGCCATTCGAGAACGAGGAATGAATAATGTCTTAGCAGAGCGTATCCAGGTACTAGTTCTTGATAGGTTACCAATTAAACACTGCTCATGGTTTTCTAGGTTTGCACTACTTGATATTTTATTGGAAATAAACTTTTCCTTTCTCATTAAGTTTTATGCCAGTATTAACCTTAGTTTAGAAAAAATGCTAGGATTTAATAGGCATGCATGGACCACTTGAAATTTTTCTTGAAAGTCTTACATTTGTCTCTCTCTGTTAAGGCTGTATTATAGAGTTGGCAGATATTCCTTATTTCCTTAACCCTTAGGGAAATATATTCTGTAGCACTAGGAAATCTCATAGGCTCATGGCCTCTAGTATAGTTTTTGCTCACGTCAATTGATTATTCACAGAAATTCCTGAATCGTTTGGTCACCGATCATGGGAGCATTGATCTTGAGTGGTTAAGAGATGTTCCCCCAGACTCAGCAAAGTAAGATATTACGCCTGTATTCAATATTTACAAATCCCTTTACCCTGCTGGTGAGATTTTTCTAGTTCTGGAAATAATAAATCAAGTATCAAAGAAGTTTGTGAACCAATTAAATGGAGCAAGCTGATCGAAGAACTTGCCAGTTAATATCTAGAATTAAATACTATGAGCAAAGAAGTTCTATGAAATGGGCAAGCGGAACAGAAAAGGCTGTATAATGTATGACACACATGATCGAAGCAGTCAAGGATTTTTTTTAGGAAAGAAAATTCTGTCAATCCTATTTATTACACAGGTGAGAAGTATGTCGATTACAATGTGTTCGAATTATTTTCAGGGATTATCTGCTTAGTATACGCGGATTGGGGCTCAAAAGTGTTGAGTGCGTCCGCCTTTTGACATTACATCATCTTGCATTCCCAGTAAGTTTCTGTTGGATTAATTCCATTTCACCTGCAGCCAATTTGAAATTTACACTACATTGTTGCCACTTAGGTTGATACTAATGTTGGTCGTATATGTGTACGATTGGGATGGGTGCCAATTCAACCCCTCCCTGAATCTCTTCAGTTACACCTTCTGGAGCTGTAAGAATGTTGCATTGTCTACTACATTTGTATAAATACTCTGCAATTTTATATGATTATGTTTCAATTTAAATATATTGATTTTGTTTGTTCCTTGAAAGATACCCTGTCTTGGAGACTATACAAAAGTACCTCTGGCCTCGTCTGTGTAAACTTGATCAACAAACACTGTGAGTTATAACCAATTAACCATACCCACTCATAGTTGCCCTTTTTTTATTAGTTTGTGTAATTTCTAGGTTATTTCTTTTCCAGGCAAATTACAGTATTTGGAATCATGAATAATTAAGGCAATAAGGAGTAAATAACATAATTTATAACTATAAGGAATTATTAACAGAGTTTCATGGTTTTCACAGGTATGAGTTACATTATCAGATGATTACTTTTGGAAAGGTACTTCATTAGCATCTAAGGAGTTTGTTTTCTTCATTAGCATCTACCGACACATTTGTTCTCTTTTGTTTGAGTAAAGATAAATTATCATAACAAATGCAGGTGTTCTGTACCAAAAGCAAGCCGAATTGCAATGCATGTCCAATGAGGAGTGAATGCAAGCATTTTGCAAGTGCCTTTGCAAGGTATTATGACATTTGTCATGCTCATTCAGAATACTAACATATTTATGACGAGCAGAAAATGGGAGCCTTCTGGCTGCAAGGAGACTTCTAAAAAAAACACTATTTGCTCCAGTAGTCACTTAATTAGTGCACAGCAAAAATCACGAGAGGGATGCCCTTTCGTTGATGGAGAGACTAAATTAGCTCCATTAGCATAATATGACCACTAAGAGTGCAAAATAGTGCTTTTGAAGAATAAAAGGGAAAATATTCTAGGAGAAAAATCAGTACATGATTCTAGTACACCACCATGGCACTTTATGTACGTTTCTGTCTGCAACAAAATATTTTTGCTGCTTTCACTTATCTTACCTGGGAATTTTGTGTTCACGTATTTCCTCTTTCCACTATCTTTCTTGTTTTGTTTGTGTGTGCGCGCATGCCTGATATATCTTGCGCTTCCAGTTGACCTTATCTGGGAGCCTTCATTTTGCATATTTCTTTATTTGTTATTTTGTTCCTTATTAATTCTTATATTTTGTTTGACTTTTTTAAATGAAGTGCAAGACTTGCACTTCCTTCTCCTCAGGACAAAAGGTTGGTGAATATGAGCAATCAATTTGATTTCCAGAATGGTACAATGCCCACACCACATTCAACTCCTCTGCTTCAGCTCGAGGGGAGTATCCATGCAAGGGATGTTCATGCTAACAACACAAATCCAATAATTGAGGAGCCAGCAAGTCCAAGAGAGGAAGAATGCCGAGAACTTTTAGAGAATGATATTGAAGATTTTGATGAAGATACTGATGAAATCCCAACAATAAAACTTAACATGGAAGCTTTTGCTCAAAACTTGGAAAATTGCATAAAAGAAAGCAATAAGGATTTCCAATCTGATGATATTACAAAAGCATTGGTTGCTATCAGCAATGAAGCAGCTTCAATTCCTGTACCTAAACTAAAGAATGTGCATAGACTTCGGACAGAACACTATGTGTAAGTGTTGAACTGATATTTTATTTAGCTTGAACATATACCTGTTTAAACTTACATTTATTATAGAGCCCACCATCTAAGTAATTCTATACATCCTGAACAAAATATTTTTTAATTTCTATTACTGACTTAAGGTTCTGCTCGCAGTTATGAACTTCCAGATTCACATCCCCTCATGCAACAGGTGAGACCATGAGAAATTGTGCCATCTTTCTTTAAAACACTTCAAGATATTATTTCTGATTGCAAATGATCTTACAGCTAGCACTCGACCAACGGGAGCCTGATGATCCAAGTCCTTACCTGTTGGCCATATGGACACCAGGCAAGTGCATTTTTCTTTAAATTTATAACTGTCCGTGTGTGTGTGCTGGTTTTCGTCGAGTCATGTGGCTACTGTGCAGATGAACTAAAGGACACAAGGGAGGCACCAAAACCGTGCTGCAATCCTCAAACTGAAGGTGGCTTATGCAGCAATGAGATGTGCCACAACTGTGTATCTGAACGAGAAAACCAATATAGATACGTCAGAGGCACGGTTCTGGTAAATCAACCAACATTATGTAGCAATCATCAACATTGAAGAGCTGAACCCTCTGCATTAGTCAGCTAGTAAACAAAATATTCATTATAATTCAAATATTGGAATGAATTCAGGAATTCAAGAAAATGTTAAAGATAACTTTTAATGAAAACTAGTGCTTATAAAGTGCCAAGCAAACCTGTTCTGTTGTCTGTGTAATCTCTTTTCTTGCATGAAATAGCCCACTTTAAAGAATAATAATAGCATAGATTTTGGGTTTTTGGCTATACACCACATCTTAATATGAACTTTTGTGAAAGTCTAAAAGAGAACATCTGAACCTTTAAACTGTACACTATTTAACCAACAATCAAAACCGATCACTTCTCAACGTCAGTCCGAATTAGCCTTTGGACGATGTTTCTTAACCTGGCGATGTGGTCCAAGATTAAAGTTTTTTTTCATCTCCTTTATATTAGTAGACGACTTAAAATTTTCTGGAATAATCTTACTTCGCTGTGAAGTATTTATAACCCAGATAAATCGGTAAGATTGAAGTGAAGTATTATTGTCCCACAAAATTTAGTGTGTGAAACTAGACAAAAAATTTTTATACTATCCGTTTAAATTTATTTAACTCTCCCTCATTTTATCTAGGCTATAAGTGGTGATTTAACTCTCCCTCATTTCTCCCTCATTTTATTTAACCTAGCGATGTCATCCAAAGCCACTCAAAATTTGGGACAAGGTTGAAAAGCGCATGGTTTTGATACTTCAGGTTCTGGGTTGAATTGTGTCCAGTTTTCTGCTTTGGGGTTGTTTCTGGAGTAACAGAAAAGTTCAGTATTGCAAAACGGACTGTTTCCTATGTAATCATGCATTGTTGGTTTGTGAAGTTGCAAGTATTGCTTGACTAATGACGGTTACTGGAACATGAACAGGTTCCTTGCCGAACAGCCATGAGAGGTAGTTTTCCACTTAATGGCACTTACTTTCAAGTTAATGAGGTATGCTGAGTTATATCTGTCAAAGTATGAGTAGGATAGTGGAGAGTTGCTATCCATGGGCCTTTATAGAGTTGGACTTTACGATTTCTGGATTTGTTTTTGCAGGTTTTTGCTGATCACAGTTCTAGCCACAATCCCATAAATATCCCAAGGGAGCAGTTATGGAACTTGCATAGGCGTATGGTTTACTTTGGGACTTCAGTGCCAACCATATTCAAAGGTTACCACCATTCACCCATACAATGACTCAGAAATCTTATCTGTAACATTACCGACAACTGTTATTTTTATTCTTTAGGTCTAACAACAGAAGAAATACAGCACTGCTTCTGGAGAGGTATTAACAGTACTTTTTTTCACTTACTGTTTCAGCGCATTTTCCTCTGGGACGTATCTTGTTTCCTCATATAATCAAACAATTTGCAGAATACAGATGCCATCATATAATCACAATATGTTTCTACAGTTATACAGAATTCGTGTGATTGCGTCAAGGTGTCCACACACTTTCCACAAAAACTTAGTATTAAGGGTCTAAAAGGAGCCTGAATATTTGGTTCAGTTAGAGTCTATATCTGAGTCCATTTTTAATTCCTAGTGCTACAGATAAAGGTGTCTTCCTTCAACAAATAAATAAAGGTGACTCCAGTTATTAGTCACCAGCATCCAATATTACTGACTGATAATATATTAATAAGTTATATGGTGCCAAAGAGGCAAAGATACTGCTACCATAACTAAACCCCTTTTTTCTGAGTTAATAATAAGGGTTAGCATACATATAGCTCCAAAAGAAAGGTTGCATTTTTTTCTACACGAGTGCTTTGGCTGCTTCCAAATTGGTTTAGTTAGGTGGAAAAGGTCGTCATTTCAGGATGTAGATATATAAGTTAGGGCATATCCTCTTACTTTATATGGTGGTTCATTAACATGTACTAAAATGCAATGCAGGATTTGTCTGTGTGAGAGGATTCGACATGGAAACTAGGGCACCAAGGCCTCTATGCCCTCATTTCCACCTTGCAGCGAGCAAACTGCGAAGATCCTCTAAAACAGCAGCAACTGAGCAAACACACTGATTTCAACAAGGACATATCAAATTATATAAAATAATGTTGATGGTGATTACATCAGCTCTCGATCTGTGCATGGGTCATATTAGTTCCTGCAGGACGATAGCCATTCTTCTAGGAAATAAACAGTGGAGTTGGAAACAGTTAATTTTAAGATGTGGGAGCCAATTGGGCACGAGAAAGCACCAATATTTCATATGCACCTCTGGGGCAGGTCGGATGCGGATCATCATCTATCAGTTAACATGGGCGTAGAATATCATTCCGTTTTTTTTTTCTGTGGCTTTGGTGTATCTTATTCACTTTTCATTTGCTTTATCCATTCAACTAGCTTGCCAAGAGACCTTGTCAATGTAACGGTATCTTCTTGTTGTGTATACCATCTGTTCTCATGACATGTTAGTTTTTCAGAACTTATAGCAGGTAGTACCTTCATATTGATGATATGACTTTGATTTTCATTATTTGCTGCTTCCCTGTGTACATATTACAGACCGTCATATCAACAGGATTTTCAGCAATAAGTGGGTCTAGGGAGTGATTTGAGATCAATGGCATAATGTTGTTTAATTGTTTTTCATGCTGGTTTACAAGATTCTATGTCTGGGATATACGAATGGCATTGGTCATTTTGGCATCTCAATTAGTCAGGGGGTTTATCCACTGGCATTTCGAGTACTGCTTACTAGGATGGTGATTAATTTATCTGGTCAGCCATCAGTTCTTCTGAGAGGTTTCCATTTTTACAAAAGGGAACATAAGCGTATGATAGCTGTAACAAACTTGCCGTTTTCCAGTCGGCCAAAACCATGATGACAATGATCAACATTAGCGCGGTGTTGCAATGATAATGACCAACAACGTGTACGGTTGTGAAACAAAATGTCTCAACACTGTCATGAGTTGCTACACGAGCAAATTAAGATTGCTCAGGAAGCAAGCAAGCGGGTGCTGTATCATGAAACGGATCCCTTTGCCTTTAAAACTACATGATCTAAAGGACAAAAAAACCCTATATATGCACATGAATGCAAGGGACAGAAAAAAAATACCTGCCATGATGGATTGGTATTTGGTGTTGCCAGACAGAGAGGAATGAGGAAACCAGAGACTCAAGATCTATCCGTTTTCCCCCTGTTCGATGCATGTACCCATCCACTGAAAAAGCTTCATTTGCGAGGAAAATGATGTCATGTTGAACTTCACTGATATCAGAGTGACAAGAGATGTCATGTTGAACTTCACTGATATCAGAGTACCTTGTCACGAGGGCATATCAGAGAGAATATCAGACAAAACTGCTGCTTATAAGCACCAATTATTCACAGATTGGAATACTAGATGTGATACATCACTGTCAATCCGTAGGCAGAATTGATACTACAAAAAGCATCCTACTCAGACTATACTATGATTTCTAAGAATGCATAGCTATAACGTCCACTTATTCGAGCAGTAATCGCCAGCAAAATGGAACAGCATCCCTTGATCTCCAGAAGGCATCCCTCTTCTATTGCTAGACCTTGGAACTTCAGAGGGGAAATAAGCGTCGCCTACTCTGAAATCTGACACTGGGTTGCTACATCCACCAAAAGTTGGTGTCGACAGCAACATAGAATTACGAGCACTGAAACAAGGATCCGGTGAGAACTCGGAGCCATATCGTGAAAGTGACAGATTTGCCCTGAAATGATTTGAGAGGTTTTCCCGACTTGTTGCTGTCAAACTGAACCTTGAATGATAGCCATCAGCTGAACACAACTCATTTTGAGCAAAAGAGTCTGTTGGCAACCGGAACAAACCAGCAAGGCCCACCGGCACTTTCACGTCATCCCGTGGTATGATCCTGCTGCGATACTCTGCTGGTTCTGGTAGCGCCAATATTTCCTGGCTAGGAAACGTTGACATGCAAAGTGAAAGCTCTGTGTCTCTGACTGGCGAATCATCCGTTGCGTAGTGATACTCTGGTGCTGGAAGTGCTAACATTTCCAGGCTAGGTGGACTTGGTTTGCTCAGCTTTTCTCTAAGGGACATCTTGGCACGTTGAAGGGCCTCCAAAACACCTCCCACACCATCACTTGAAGGTTGATGCATCTGTGTGTCAATCTGGTTATCAGTGTGGTTGTGAAAGCATGATGAGCTCCATTCAGAGACTTTGCTTTTAGGGGTGTCACTTGATCGGCTAGCAACTGATGGTGTGTTGATGTAGTGCTCATAAGAGCAAGCATTTACATGGTAGCCTGGACCACCGTCTGAGCTTTCATCTACTCCATCTTCATTATGTCTTGCATTTTGGACACTTTCGTAGTTTCTTTGTAGTGAAGAGGACAACTTCTCTATATTATTCCCACTTCCTTCAATAATTTCAGTGAAACTTTTGTCTACCAACTCATCCTTCCTAATCTGTGGGCCACTATCAACAGAAACAACTGTTGAAGTAGCTTCCCCAAAATCATGATCACACTCAGTAACTTTGCAATGCTTAATAGCATTTTCTTCTGGTGCATTTTGGGGCACTCCGGAAACAGAATCAGTTGACAAACATTCAGAGGGACTGTCATTGGCAAAGAGATTTTTGTCACTTGGCCCTCCCACTTCAGAAACTTCTTTATCCTTGATCTGAGCAGCTTTGTCCCTCTGCTCACAAGCCTTTTCAATTTGATTTAGCTTATTGCATAGCTCAACATCACCCTGGAAATCAGAACACAAATGCACAAGTGAAAATAACAATAATTTTAGATATTTTAATTTTTATCAAGTCAACTGCAAGTTCAACAGCTTTGAGAAAAACAAAGTTAAGGAAAATTGCTTGGTTTACTATATTGACAGCAAGTATACCATCAGATAAAAACATTGACAGCAAGTATCTCTAACAAAAGAAATTATATGGTTATCGGCATATTGGCATCCATCTAAGAAGCTAAAATAACCACTGAACCACCAAATACATGCTATTTTGTTAAACAGATCTTATGCCTATATGAAACAGCATTTTGTGATTAAGAAGGACAGCGCATACCGCAGTTGAATCACGGGAATTGTTGAATTTCCTTTCCCACTCCCTCTGAGCATATTCTTCTTCCTCGTATTGCTCAATTAACTCTGCCTGCTTTTCAAGAACTCTCTCCATCTCCCCATCCTTCTCATACTCAACAGTATATGGATTGTCATCATCTCCATCTCTTCCATTGCCACAGGAACCCTGCCCATCTTGGCTCACCTCACCATCAATATCAGGCTGCTCATCAGTACAGACAGTACAATCTGATCTCTCGTGCCCCTCCTCAGTACTTTCCATGGCATTGTCCTTCCCCTCGTCTCCTTCAGTGTGAAGCCTGAAAATGCAGTACAGCTACATTTATGTCAGCTTAGCAATGCGCAGACAGGGATGAACAATTATCGCAAATTTGGGTAATTTCCCGGTGTATGGACCTCAGCTCCTTCCTCTTGACCTTCCGGCACGATTGCCCTGGGTGGTACTTGGGCGACGAATCCGCGGCCACCAAGTAAAAGTAGCCTCTCCTATGGCTATGCCTCGGCCTAAGATGCCTGCCTTTCAGTTGCTGCTGCTGCTGCTGCCGCCGCCTCTGCGACTCGTGGCTCGCGGCGCGGCCCTTCCACGACAGCCCCCCGGCCGCCGCCGCAGTAGCAGTGCCTCCAAACTCTGACCCCGACAGCGCATCCTCCGCGTCCCCACGAGCCTTGCTGCCGCTCTCGGCGGACTCGAGGCCGTCCTCATCGTCGGAACCTGAACCGGAATCCGCCACATCGGAGAAGCGGGCGAGGCCCTGGGACTCGAGGATGGCGAGCACCTCCCCCGCGGCACGCTCCGCCTTCCGGCGCTGCGCCGTCACCGCCCGCACCTGCTCCTCCAGCTCCGCCACCTGCAGCAGCAGCAGCGACACCGTGAGCCGGAGAGAAAATGCGGTCGATAGGGAGAGTGACTGCAGCTCACGCACCCGCTTGGTGAGCTGGTCGGCGCGCTCCTTGGCGGCGCGGGAGACGGAGCGCTCGGAGAGGAGGCGCGCGCGGAGGAAGTCGATTGTCATCGCCGTCGTCGCGTCCGCCGCCGCCGCCATCTCGAACCCCTCCTCTCCGCTGCCTTCTCGTCGCAGCTCAGGGTGCCGCTCGTGCCGCCCCGCCGGCGCCGGGAAGCCCCTACACCGCTCGACGCCGGACCGCGCCACCCCGACCTCACCGCGGCGGTCGGAGGACGAGGAGGAGAGGCATGGCGGCCGGAGGAGGGGAGAGGAGCGGCGGAGGTCCCGGGAGGCCACGCCGGCGCCCCCCCGGGGAAGGGGGGGGGGGGAGGGCCGCGTCACGCCAGATCCGCCCTGTCGGGCTCCCGCTAGCCGCCGGTCGGAGGAGGAGGATGGGTGGAGCCCCGCTCGTCGCCGGCGCCGCGCGGCTACCGCTCCGCTCGGTGCCGGCGCACACCTCGCTTCCTCCACCGGGGAGAGAAAAAGGAACGATGCGACTATGCGAGGCGAGAGATGGAGTTGAAGAGAAAATTGATATTTAGCCATTTTCAAAAAACGGTTTCGCTGAAGTGCCATGCTGAAAACGTTTTTCGTTAAAATGTCAATATAAAGCGCGCACTCACCGTCACTTTACCATTTTAGCTATTTTGTGCATTTTCGTTGAAATGCGGCTTAATGAGACCAAATTGCCCTTGCTCACCAGCTGAAAGAGGATCGATCCAGTTCATGGGAGAAAGAGGACGAGCGCGGCGAGGTGGTCCGCGTGGCCGAAATAGAGGAGGTGGCAAGCGAAAGCAAAGCAGCGGTGGCGACGACGGCAACGCCGCAGCGAAGGGAGACGCACGGCCTCCATGCCAACGACAACGATGCCTTGTCCTCCGGCGTCTCCACCGCTCGATGCCGGACTCGTGCAGCCGCGATCTGTTGGCGGGGACCTCCACACCCCACTTCCTCGTCGACACGACGAGCATCTGCGTGATCCTCGTTAGCGGGTTATCACCGGGGCGCTAGTGCCTGCACAGCAGCGTGCCGACGAAGAAGCTGACGACGGCGACGGCCATGATGTCGCCGAACCCCCGACAAAGAAGCTGACGATGGCTACCGTCGGCGGCTGCCCCTCGACGCCCTCCTGTGCTAGCGCCGCTCCATGGTCCCCGGTCTCCATCGCCACCGAGGGGAGGGCCGCCGCCGCCATCCTCCTCCACTCCCTTAGTCCCTTCTCCGCCACCCGGATGCCACGCCGCCTTCGTTCGCCATGCCGGACGCCGTTTCTCCGGAGACCGGGGGGACAAGCGCCCGCCCTGGAGGGCCTCGCCGCCAGAGCCGGGTGCTTGTGGCCATCGCCGACCGGCGTGCCGGCCATCATCCGCGAGCCAGGACGGCTCGGGCTCTGCCCCGCTTAATCCACGTCGCCTAGGTCACCGTGATGCCAAGGTGTTGTGTCCCCTGCTCGCCACGCTCACGACACACCTGAAGGACAATTTCGTCTCATCATCCGGTGGAGGAGCGAAAATGATTTTGAAAATGCATAAAATAGCCAAAATAGCAAAGTGGCGATGAGTGCGTGTTTCATATTGGTATTTTAGCGAAACACATTTTCAGAATGGCATTCCAGCGAAAACCGCTTTTTGAAAATGGCTAAATGTCCATTTTCTCGGAGTTGAAAAAGTAAAAGTAAAGGAGAGAGAGATGGTGGGACCCACCGCTACATGTAGCTTGTACTGTGGTGCTGTAAGAGCAAGTTTAATAGTATAGTCCACTACTAGCTCTAATTCATCTATAGCCAATCTAATAGCCAATTTATAAATAGTTGCCTATTATACTATTAATATATGGTCCCATCTGTTATCTGTGGAGGATGTGGTTTGTATCGTTATTGATCTATGTGGCACGGAAAGAATGGTAAAATTTGGTGACGTAGTGTGAATGGCCTTACAATGCCCGCCTCTCCGGTCCGCGGCGACAACGCGATGCGGTGTGTGTGATTCTGTGCCAGACCGGCCGGTGTGCCTCCTTTTTTGTCGCGCAGTGTCACTCACAGGCCACCGTCCTGCCGTGCCGTGACGGGCGTGTGCGCGGTGTCGTTGGTTGTGTGCGCCCCCACGCGATCACGTGACGCTGGTGTGCTTTTCTCCCCCGTACGTCGCTTTACCCCTCGGCCCGCCCCGCCCCGCGCGACTCCTTCTCCGTGACGACTCGGCAAAATCGCGCGCCGTGGTGGCGACCGTAACCGACGAAGGCTCACCGATGCCTCCACCGGCAGTGTGCCGCCGATCTGACCACATGAGCGCGTGCCTTGCAACTTGCAAGCCCCGCAACGTGCAGTACGGGTGCGCTGGTACACAGGCTCCACCCGTGTAGACGCACTTCGGCTACGGGCAAGTGGTACTAAACTCTACCCAACTCTGTTGTGTGTGTTTGTGACTTTGTTCTCACTGGGACGAGACGGGACGTGTGTTCGGTGGATCCGAGGAGGGGAGAATAGCTACGACTTCACACGTTCCACAGGGGGGCTTTGATTGGTTCGGATAGTCAAGGTCAACTCGCCTGCCGCGCACAAAACGAAAGCTAAACTCCATTGCGGCCGTAGTAGACTCGTTAAACATCTTTTGACGTCGTACAGGGCATCATTTATTTGCTGCTCTCTCCGCCCCAAAATATAAAAAGTTTTTAAATTAGACACGGTTATTAAAAATAGTTGATAGAATTAAATGGGGGATGTCATAATTGGTTGAGAAGTGAATGTAGATGGAAAAAGTGAATGGTGAAAGGTTTGATTGGTTGGTAAGAGAATGTTGGTGATAAATTTTAAATGCTAGAAGGTTATATTTTAAGACGGAAGATAGGATTATTACGTTATTTGCAAGTTACGTTCAACCGTCTGCACATCTCACGTCAGGTACCCAAGACCCCAAGACTATTGCAGTCCGCAGTTGACACCTTAACTATTACAGTCCGATTTCTCCGTAGTTGTCAATTGAAACCTTGTTCTCAACCTTGACTATTGCAGTCCGATTTCTCCGTAGTTGCCAATTGAAACCAACCCTCTTCTCAACCTTGACTATTGTAGTCTGATTTCTCCGTAGTTGCTAATTGAAACCTACTTCTCAAGAGGCATTTAACTACTTGTCTAGATTTTGGGACGGACGGCGTACAAGACTACTCCAGTAAACATCCTCAAGCAGGGAGATATTTAACTATTTGTTACTCTTATACCCCCGTCCCAAAAAAAAAAGCCCAATACTAGCTACTAATCTGGACATATAGTTTGTCTTTGCTTTGTCTTTTTTTGAGACGGAGTAGTAAGTGCCAATTAAGGATTTGTCACTAGACTCGTATGTCATAGACACATGAGGGCCACATGTCATAGACCTAAGTCTTAAACCTAAGTCTAGACAAGTAGAACCTAAAATCGGATGAGACATTTCTTAATATTTAGACAAGTAGTCTATTCAGATTGTAGTACTATAAAATATTCCATTGGAAGGAGAGAGTACATAGAACGGCGAGCAATGACCTTTGGTATTAAGAGCAAGTTTAATAGCATACCCAACTACTGGCTCTAAATCATCTATAGCTAATCTAATAGCCCATTCATGCAATAGTTAACTATAAAAATATACTACACCATCAATACCCGGTCCCACCTCTCATACACACATAACGTCTTGGAGTCAGTGTTACAGCTGGCTACAAATCTGTAGTCCGCTTTCTTCTCTCTCTTCTTTTTTCTTCTCAATATGTGGTTATAGCTGGCTTATAGCCTGCTATTATACCTGCTCTAAACCCAATTGTTATCCAGGCAGCCGGTGGACGGGTGGAGAGGATGTGATACTGTCAAGTCACAAACAATAAGAACCAAGAGTCCAAGAAGCGTGATACAGTATATTGCAGAAAACCTGATAACTCAACATCATCCTAATACCTCTGTAGCAAGGAAGTGTTCATACAGTAGTATTGTAGTAAGTAGGTCTAGCGGGGTACAGTAATCCATCAAACTTCCAGCTAGTTTCTACTGAACCATTTGCGAACACAACATGTTGAGAAATCGTCATTACTCACCAGACACATGCCATAGCCCAAGAGTTTACAGTACACCACACGAATCGCCTGATTATATGGTCATATGGTGCTTGTCTTAACAGAGATCAAACACAAGGAAACATCTCGAGCGATTACTCTCAGATTATTTGTAGCCACAGGACAGCGACTTCAATCACCACTGGCACACCCTCTGCACCCACAATGGACACACTCTATAACCTTTTCTTCCCTGAGGTGCTTGGGGACCCTACAGACACAAGTGGTTGCAAAGTTGTGGTCTCGTGTCTGTATGCATCGGAGGCAGCAAAGACGCTCATAACCTGGCTGCAAATGTTTCAGAAAAAAAGATGGATAGCAGTGAGCAATCAGAATGCTGATTTGTAGATTCAAGGACTTCTGATATCTACGAAAGAACATAAAAATGAGCATAGCCCAAAGAGTACATACCACTCAATTGTCTCAACTTTAGCTTTATACTACCCTAAAAAAAACTTAAGCTACATACCACCCAAATAGTTGAGCACACTAAAATCCCGTTAATGAAGTAGTCATGTCATTGTTAAGAACTTCAGATAAAGAGGGATTGCACAAATGAGAACTCAAGCCTAGCAGTCTCTCAGAGCAGCTGGGTTATTGCCCATCAGGATATTCATAAAACCACAACTGTTACAAGATTCTAGAGAGAATAGGTATGCACCTGTATTTCTCTGAAAATTTGTTTTTGGCCCAAACTTATTTCTTCATGCTAATCATGTCCAAATCAGTGACTTATATCTGTGATCCATTCAGTATGCAGACAGTGTTACGAGATTATTTCTTTAGTAGATGTGGGCGTTCTCAGTAAAGCATTATAGATGTGCTCTTGGTTGGTTAATTGAAATCTATAGGCTCATTGTGAAGCCTACTAGTTCCTGAGTAAACTTTTGTAGAGGAAAGACTAAAAAGACGTAGCATATCCAGATGTTCTAAAAAATTTTATGGCTGTTTTGGTGAATCATATTTTGTTCTGTTTGTACAAGGAATTGGAACATCACATTGGCTGCAGTGTGCACAATCAAATAGTGTCTCAGCTGTTCGAATTTGTGTTGAATAGATTTAAGAGAAGATTGTGTACGTGAGAATCAAAATTTCAAGATTGTAGCATTTTAATTTTAGCAATGGTTTGAATCTTTTGGCTGTATATAGTGAAGCCAGATTCTTTTCATGATAGCAAAAGTTTGGGTTTTCAGGGCTATATACCCAATTTTCTCTTAAAGAGTGCACTTTGCCGTTATAAAATTCACACGAAATATTTTACATCTTAAGACAAATTCTACAATTACATAGGTTTCAGTGATCACATTGTTTTCTACAGTCTCATTTTTCAAATAGAAAGCCAAACCTTTTTTTTGTCAACATTACCGTGACACAGACATAGTGTTAAACATAGGTACATCTGGAATGGCATTAGCATCACTCTTGCTATTTTTTTCATGAGGATGACATAAGTTCAGATATTATAATATACAAGAATTGGAACATAAACTGCATACTCCAAAGTTTAAAGACCACGTATGCTTACCTTTTTCCACTTCGCGATCAGATTTTTATCAGCATGACCTTGGTCCAAACAAAATTCATACAGCTCTTTTGATATCTCCTTTCTTCGATAGTAAAGATCATATATGTAACGGCTTTTTTGATGAGAAATACGAAAGATTGGCCAGAGAGCTTCGCACTTCCTCTTCCCATCATGTGGATCATTCTCGGCTGCATCCGAAAATCACATTACCTTTTAGCAATCAGAAAATCACATCATTACCACCCTGTGGTAGGAAATAATAAATAACAATATATATACTGGGAAAAGAAATCGACGAACTGTTACATATTACAGATATGTGCATACCTTCCCTCATCTTGGCTTCCAAATCACGCAGAGTTGGTTCTATAAGCTCCCATCCTTCAGGATACTTGACACGGCTTGTCTTTATCTTAGGCATGTCGTCTCAACGAACAAACCTAATTACCTAAATACCTAACAGAAGTCAGAAGACCACGAACATGTGAAATACCTAAGGAAAAAGAGAAAAACCTAGCTTCCAGATCTCGAATATAAGATAAGGTTAATGCAAATTCGAAAGAAAGAGGATGTGCATGCGTAGGAACTGGTCCTCACCGGAGGCGGAAGCAGCAGGAGGACGGCACCCACCGCTGCTCCCCTCCGCAGGATGGACTGAAATCGACGCAGGCGGCGCGGCGGGCGAACTAGCGAGGAGACGGGAGTTGAGGCCGAGAAGACAGACGGGGAGATTGACTTGGCGCAAAGAGTCAGAGGGGAGAGTATGCGTAGCAGGACGCCGGCACCAGGGCCGGCCCTGGCCCTATGTAGCCGACCGCCGGGGGCCTATGATGGTGGAGGGGCCAACACCTAATACTAGTAGTCTAGTACCTCATCCGATGTTGAGATCAATGATTTTTATTCAGAATTAAAGGTGTGATTCTTGGATGTTCGCGCCTGAGATTCTGAAGTTCATTATGGATGCAGATTGCTATCCAAATGTTTTAGTTGCCTATCGAAATCTATTAACTGTACCTATGACGGTAGCTTCAACTGAAAGAAGTTTCTCAAACTTGAAGTTTTGAAGAACTATTTGAGATCAACTATGTCACAAGAAAGGTTAAATGGCTTGGCTATGTGCACAATTGAGAAGGATATCTTGAACACTATTGATTTTAATACCGTTATTGATAATTTTGCATCAAGAAATGTCCGAAGAAGTATCTTTTCATGGGAGCAACGGATATGATGGGGTTTTGTTCTTCATTAAGTTAATGAATAATGATATTAGTTCCAAGTTATAAATATATTGTTATTTTTATTTCTTCATAATTACTAGACATGTTAAATTTAATATATGGATGTATTTGTTATCGTTTTGCAAGTAAAATTATTATCTATATATCATAAAATTTTATATATAGTTTAGAGGGCCCATCGCGATGAGTTCGCTTAGGGACCTCAAAATCATAGGACCGGCCTTGGCCGGTACCGCTGCTCGCAGTGGCAGGCGATGGAGATAGGCGGCGACAGCGCAGAAAGGAGACAGATGGAGCCTGGTGGATGCTGTTTTTTTTTTTAAAAAAAATATTTTTGGACCTTTTCTAAAACTTATTTCACATATACACCCTCCGAAAAACTAATCCCAAAAATAAATCCCTGTCTCGACGCCAATGTTTATCATAAAGATTACACGTTACGTCACCATCACCTCTGGCACCGAGAATTTAGCAACTACGTGTTGATGAAAAATCCACGCTCGGCCGATGGCACCGAATGTGTGTTGACATGAACTAAGTCGATGAACGCAATGGCATAGGAGCCGCAACACCGCTTGTTCCAAAATTTGCTTGTATTGTGTCACAACTCGCAAGCACAAAATTTCAGGTACATCGTACTGGGGTCTGGGAGCAGGAAGCTGGAAGCCTCTCGTTGCATAGCTCCAAACTAGATGGTAGGTGGAGAGCACCAACGGTATATATGCACCAAGTTACAAAAGCCAAACGGCATGCGTTGGGCGTGCTAACACCACGCCTTGCCACCAGACGCCGCCACCTCTCTCACCATGCCAGCGGCACACGGCACGCCCCGGCCGTGGGCGGAGCTACAGTGATGCCTGTGTATTCCCAGGAATACCTAATATTTTTTACCAAAAAACAACTATATCTCAGTATATACACATGTATGGCTCTGTTCGTTCTGGGGAGATAGGGGAGATTGATTCTCGTTTTCCTCGCGCACGCATTTCAAACTATTAGACGGTACGTTTTTTGCAAAAAAATTTATATAGGAAAGTTGTTTTAAAAAATTATATTAATCTATTTTTAAAATTTAAAATAGTTAATACTCAATTAATCATGAGCTAATGACTTAACTCGTTTTGCGTATCTCCTCAATCTCTTCGATCCCTTCTGCTCAAACACAACCAGTTGTCCCCACTCTTCCTGAGTCCCTGGCTCGGCTCGCGCTCACGCCTCACGCAGTCACGCGCTGCTCGCCCGCTCCCCAATTCCCCATTTCCAAACCCTAGGTGGTGGCGTTCGGCGGCGGCGAGGTGACCGGCGGGAGCGGCAGCCGGCGTCCGGCGGGCGGCGACAGGATTGGCGACGGGAGCTAGACCGGCGGCGCAGTGAGGCGTTCGGCGGCGGCGCGGCGAGGCCACGAGGCGGCAACCGACGGCCGACCAGCGACGGCGGGAGCGAGGCCGCGAGGGGCAAGGCGCCGCGGCCAGCGGCTGCGGCTCAACAGGACAGCGCCCGGCGGCAAGCACAACTTCAGGTGAGCAATCAAGAGTTCAAGATTCAATCAGCCTAAATTCACTCATCATGTGTCCATGTCTTTTTACCTTAGTCTCTGAGTAGTTTTTTTTTTCTGTACTTCTGTAGTTCTATAGATTGAAGAGCTCTCAAAATGAAGAAGAAATCGATTGATTTGAAGACTTCGTGGGATAGACATTCAAAGTTTAGGAAGGTAGGGTCAGGTTCTGGTTCTGGATCAACAGCACAGCCCGTTAGAATTGACAGCGAAGTTGTTGTTCCTTCTGTTCAGCCGATTACATATGCAAATGTGAGTCCAGTTCAGATTCAGATTACTGCAGTTGAGGTTGTGCCTGAGGTAGAAAATTAGAGGTAACATGTAATAATTTGTAGTTTTATTTCTCAGATTATCAGTATTGACAAATTTTGAATCATTGATTTTTTTTACTATGAATTTTTTTTTGTTAGACGGGAATACCCAACTTTGAAATCCTGACTCTGCTGAGGCTCGTCTCACGCAGGGAGATTTCCGCTTTCCTCCGCGATTTCCTCCACATTCACCACCGGTGTTCGCTCGGCTCCGCGCCTGGCACACGACGGCCACGAAACCTGTCAACCTCACCGCCGCTGCCATATGCCACGCCATGCCACTATTCCTGGCACGACAACCGGATGGACGAACACACTGACACGCCAGGGACAGAACTGCAGAGCGGTGCTATTGGCTGCTGCGGCCATCAATAGACAGAGTCACATAGCTGAAAAAAGACGATATCGTTCTACTCCGAGTAGGTGAGAAAAAGTGTTGGAAAAAAAAAAGAAAAAATCGCAACGAGAAATGAAGGGAATGTTTAAAAAATGGGTTTGGGATATGATTTCCCACCCCCTAAAGGGTAAGTTTTAATCCTAGCCATCCATTCATATCACTCCATTTTATCCTATTCCTCCATTCATTTCCATTTCCCAATCCCACCTCTCCTAACCCATTTTCCAAACACACCCGAAGAGATAATGCAAGGCACACATTCCGAGTCATGGTGGATCCCGGAGGACGCTAGGGAAGGGGAGAGATGGTGGTCGCCTTTGGCATGACCCGCTTTGGGAGGTGAAGCTGGTGGTCGACTCTGTGCCTGTCGGTGGCATGGGACCGGGAGTATCATGACTAGAGGCTTGAGGCAGACACAATCGCCCACGTGGCCTGGCACCCTCGGGGGACGTCGGGCCCGAGGGTGATGTGTGCGCCCACCTCTTGGTCTCCCCGAGGGGGGGGGGTCGGACCGCTTCTGCCTCGCCCCCGAGGGCCGAGGCGCCCCGACCCCTCGCGGGTTCTACTCCGCGTGAATGGGTTAGGTGAGCACAGCGGGGCTCACCTAACCGCATTTATTGCGGCTCGGCTAAACGTGTCACGCCGCACGAAATACAGTGCACTCCACTCGTTTATCCGGTCTGTGACCAGTCACAGACCGGTCAGATCGCGGGTTAGGTGGCGACAGGCGGTCTGACGCACGCTTCGCCCCATCCCGTCAAGACGAGAGCTTCTAGGCACTCGTCCCCGGCTGGAGCTAGCGTATTACATCCCAGAGATGGCACGTTAGCCCCGGTCGATATATGCCAGGCTTCATCCTAACCATTACAAGCAAGATGTTGTGTGAAGAAGGGCAAACATGCACGTTGCTAGGCTGACGCGTGGTGGGCAAGAATGATCGATTTGTGACCGGTCTGACACTGGTCATGTCGTCGGCAGACAGCCACTTTCCCACGACGCGCCTGCCCCCGGCAGAAGTGAAGGTAGGTATGGGCCGTCCCGTCAGAAGGATGTTCGGAGGGCAACCGTGCAAATCTCCGTCCATTTATGAAAAGAAGAAAAGTCCAGTTTGGAAAGAGAGGGGTGCATGTGGTATCCCCTTGAAATATAAAAGGAGGACCTGGCCCATTAAAAAGGGGGTTGGATTCTTTCCAGATTGGGTAGCTAGAACAAAGGGGAGGTTGGCTCACACTTTGTAGCTCCTTGATACACAGATCCACCAAAACACAGGAGTAGGGTATTACGCTTCTCAGCGGCCCGAACCTGTATACATCGCTTGCGTTTCGTGCTCTTTCGATAGGTCGCGATCTTTCCACATACAGTGAGAGCTTGGGATCTCACCCTGAGCCCCCGGCCGAACCGGCAAAGGGGGGCCTGTGCGGTCTCCCGGTGAGGAGCCCCGCGCTCCGTCATCTGGCGCGCCAGGTAGGGGCCTCTGCGAGTGATTTTCGGAGCTCTTGCGCTCTTTCGTGAGCACCAAGCTTTTCCTGTTCAGCCTCATGGCTGAGCAAGCGAAGGCGCCCAACCTCTCTCCGAGTGTGAGTGGCGACGACGGGGAGCCGAACCCACGCCGTCGAGCTCGTACTCCGCCGCCCCCTCCACGCCAAAGTCCTGGGCGGGAGAAGGCACCCAAGAGGGCTGAAGGGTCCGCGACTTCGACATCCACAGGAGCTGGGAAAGGGCGGCGAGATGGGGAGCGTCGCCTCCTCGTCTATGGTGACGGCAGCACGCCCCAGGGCGCGCTCCAAGCTGCGGGCGCGCTCTTACGCCACCCGCCTATCATCCCTGACCCGGAGTCTCCAGCCCAACGATGGCTGGACGACGTGGCCAAATTGGTCATGACGGCGCGGCAGCGCCTAGATGCTGGTGGGCGGTCCTCTGCCACCAAGGCCTCTGGTGCTGCTACCACCGGCTCTGCGTCGTCAAGACGGAGGGCACGACGAGCGGCAGCCGCTGTTCGCCATTCGGCTGCCACTCCTTCCTCGACTCCTTCGACCCAGGAGGATCTGCGTGGGGAGCAGGACGCCCGCACCAGCATCGAGCGCCGGCGTAATGACCGACGTGCTGCCCACGCAACGGAGGGCGCTTCCTCGTCCAGAGTGTCACCTCGACACGGACGTGGGAATCAGCCCTCCGTGCCCCCGGTTGGTGGTGTCGGCTGTAGAGCCTTTGTGGCGAGTCTTCGGAATGTCCGTTGGCCCCCAAGGTTCCGGCCCACCATCGCCGAAAAATATGATGGCAGCGTCAACCCCGCCGA